CATCACACAAGCGATAAACACCCGATGACACAAAGTGCCACCATGCGGATGAGGATCACCGTGGAGAGGTCCCAGAAACCGCGTTCAGACAATTGGCCATATTGATGGCCTGTCTATAATGCGGCCCCTGGCAAAAGCCAGAGTGGGGCTTCAAATAACAACAAATTACGTCCTAAGAAGGACGTAAGGAATACACAATTAACAAAGTGCGACAAAGTTAGTAAGATATTACAAAATCTCAATCTCAAAGGAAGACCTGTAAGAAAAATCCCAGATATCCCGTTCAGTTTCCAAATAAGCTATAATTGGTGTAACCTCCAGTCCTGTGCGGGTAAGGATGCGAGTATTACATGTATGGTAATGGTAGGTTGGTGTTTCACATTATAAATCGGATAGGACAAACCTAAACCGAAGAAATTCAGCAATCCAAAAAAGTCAAGTCATTTGTCTCCCTTTCTATCCTAAGCAGTTGCAGCCTAATGTAATAAATGTTTGGACGGCGAGGATTTACAGTGTCAAGTAGGAGACAGAGATTTACTAACAACTGTCTGAAGAAGAGGCCGGAAATTAATCAATGGTACAAAATGTTAGATTATACTGGCAATTTCTCTCAGTTGAGAGACTGCATCTCATTGCATTGCAATACTGCCTAGATTATCTTAAACTGATAATACTTACTTGATAATTGCATACAAGATTAACATCACAATTAGCACAGACTGACTCACGTGGCATTGCAGGTTATCACTTGTCAGTCTTTTGGCTAAGATCAAAAGACCGGAAGGGTCACAAATCAAATGTTTTAAGGGGAAGAACCCAGGCATAGAGCAAATAAAGGCTGTCTAGTTCCTTTTCCGCCCGTGTGTCAAGGGGCCCTCGCAGGAAGGAAAGAATAGTACTTTCATCCTACAATGCATGTCGTAAGAGGCGACTAAGGGTAGAGTTGGGCTTGAGATTGGCTTCCTTATCCTGTGAAAACAATAGCCACAAAACCGACCAACGATGGGAAAGTCAAAAAGAGAAACAGGACAACCCCAGCCAACCAAGATAAGAGGAGGCTGTTTCAGCAGAGGTATGACAAGGTGTGGAGAAAGCCGAAAGGAATCTAGATCGTCGACGTACCTCATTTCACCTGGGGAAAACCTATAGAATTTGCGCCCAGACTGTTAGAACCTTGTACGATGTAGGAAGAACAATGGAAACATTAAGCGAAGTGAAACATTAGAGGATTCGCATTGTAGGATTAGTTGAAACTAAGAGCTACGCGAGGTTTTTGACATGTAAAACATTACACGCCTGAGTGCGCGCGAGCCTGACAGAGAGAGAGAGATTTGGAGACCGAGTCTTTATTTCTATGCCCCGGCTGGTTCCAGTGCATAGACACACACTCTCTTTCTCATTCTCTGCTTTCTGTCTCTTCCTTCCATTCTTTCTCTCTTACATACATTGCTACTGAGGCTCGCTCATATAAGCTATAAAATAATGACCTTTAAGTCATTTTCCTTTCTGAGCACCTTTCCTACCCAGATAATTCCCAAAATATTCAAACACTTTTCTGGTACTCATTGTTGAAGACCCGCGGATCGAAATAAAAATGAACTCTGCCACCTGTGATGACTAAACAAAACCACTGACTTGACAGGTGAGCACAATGCCACCAGCGACTCCTTTGGCCATGTAATTTTCTTGTTAGTTACTCTACCACTATTGAATTTTTATGGGGATTTATTTGATAAATTCCAAGACAAAATGGAAAAAGAATCCTTAAACAGACCCTGAACAGGGAAATCAACTGAGGAAGCAAGGACGTCCAATGACGATATGCACAGGATAAAGTGAAATGGATGAATCAGCTGTGAAGCCTGTGTGATGAATAAGTGGCACAAAAGGATGATAATGATGGTGACTGAAATTAACTCTGTGTTTAAGTTGTAGCAACAGATGTAACACTAGAGACAACAAGAATTAAAGTAGAAGAATAATTTACTTATTAAGGTAGCAATATTGATAGTCAAGGAAACACAGAGAAAGATAGTTTTGGATCCAAGTTACGTATTTTTGATTCTAATGTTATTTTACTTTTAACAAAATTTTGGAGAAACACTAAAGACATGGTAACAAAATTAAATTAAATTGAAAACAAAGGAGTGAGAAAAATTATGAAGATTAGATGGGGTGAATGTCTAGGCAACCAACTAGTATCAACAGTTTTAAGACAGAGAAGATGACTATTTTTTGGACACATCATGATAAGAAATGAGCAGAGAATCATCAAACAGACAGTGAAATTCTAAATTAAAGAATTGAGAAAATGAGGACATCTAGGAGAAACCATATGGGAATATTGATGAAAGAAGCCATAGGTGCTGGACTAAATTCCATCCATGATATTTGAGTGATTTCAAAGGACAAGACAGAATGGAGAAATAGACTGTTCTCTGTACCATGAATCAATGTATGCACGTTAACCAAGACACTAGTTCTTTTAGTAAAATGATTTTATTTTGTAAAATTATAAAACACATTTTTTCTGTTAAGAACTTAGCTACAATGCATATATTTAGGAAAAACAAAACACTGAATGTTTTTAAATTTTTCTTTAAATAAACTTAAAATATAGCATTCACAACTCTTATTTCAAAGCATAAGATTATGAGGAAGAAGAACAAGAAGGAAAAACATTCTGAAGCAGATGATTGCTTACATCAAAACTAGACAAAGGTCATATTTATTCTGGCATGTTATGAGAAAATGAGATCAGTAGATGCTATTCCCCAAGTGTGTTCTGAGGCCCCATTGTGAGGGGTAGAAGTAGACCCGCTGCCTCCCTATCAAGCATACGATAAGAGTAGACTAATTAGGGGCTTCCTTCAATGTTGGAATGCATCTGCCTGAGAGACAATGAACTAACCGTCTGCCTAAAAATAAGTCACATCTGTAAAATAGAGCAAGACTAAAGTCTAAAAGAGGATGAACAACCAGAGCTTTCCGCTGAGTTTACATATGATAAATGTGGAAAAGAAGAGTACATGTTATGATAATTTAGATCCTTGTTTGGTTCCAAGGTCCTATTGTGGGGAAAACAAGAACAGACCCACTGCCTCCCCAACAAGCACATCGTAAGTGTCAACTAACTGGGGACTTCCTTGGAAGTCGGAGTGCATCTGCTTGAGAGGCATGGTACCAACAATCTGCATAAAATTAAGTCAGATCTGTTAAATGGATATGCACACAATACTAAAGTCAAGAGGCGGACAAACCAGAACTTTCCGCCAAAGTTTACAGCTGGGGAACGTGAAGAAGAAAGAAGATAACTTAGAGTATTAAAGGCAGAGGTTGACAGAAGAAAATAATCTTCTTCTTTTCTTCTTTGTGGCAGAAAGTTCTGGGTGGTTGTCTACCTGCGGACTTTAGTCTTGTTCTAAAGCCTGAGTATTGTGTGCACATCCATTTCATAGATATGCCTTATTTGTATGTTAAGGAAACAATGGGTCAATTTTTTTTCCTACAATTATGCCTTGAAACCCACATGGGAAACAGAATCAAATAATGATAAGTGAGTTAGCAATGTGGAATGGAAGACAATCAGACTTAGTTACAAACACAGAGAACTAATATTCAGGAGAGACATGATCACTTGAACCTCAGGGCACTGAACCAAACTGCTGATTATCTATAAACATTGTTACATTATTTGTAAAAACAAACATATACAAACAATGATCCAGCTAATTATTTCTCCTGATTAGCTATTGTGCGACTACATCTATTAAAGTTCACCATTTTAACAACAAATATGACCATGGCTTTCTGTTGTTTTTTTCTCTCTCCAAGAACAAAAAGGCACCAATATTCATTATAAAGTGTCTATTACAGTAAAACTGAAAATATATTAGAAGGTGCTGGTACTGCGTACCATTGTGTACCACCAGAAAGAAAGCTCTGGATGTGACAATGGTGCCATGGTAGCAAAATGGCTTGCACTGGCCCAGTGGTAATGTTTTCAAATCATTTCAAGATGGGAATTTTTGTCCTTGACCTGGGCTCCCAGGTAGACCCAACCTAAAATTAGTGCTAGGATATTTCATGGAAAGTAAAAGCAGTTGGCGTAATACTGACAGCATTACTCCTCATGTGTGGACTGATCTAATAACAACTGAGCTATAACCAAACACCCAATACAAATCAAGGCATGGGAAAGAACATTTTTCATTCATTCTCAAAAATAATATTTCACAAATTTTCAGAAAAAGTATTACATTTGTAAACAGTATTGTTATTATAAGTAATATATTAAAACGTTCAATACTAAATGTTATATTTAAAATTATAAAGAATAAGTTTCAAAACATAAGGGAACATGATATGAATAAAGTAATGCATCACAAAAGATAACTGCTGGTAAAAATAGTTTATTATCTTTAAAATTACCTTTTCATAAGTGTAAAACATTTTTTAAGTAAATAAATGAATTTTAAAGGATAAACATTATAAAATTAAACTTTCAGTCAGTCTGATGTGTGCTACTTTTCTTTCTTTTCTCTCTCAAACATTAAAACCGAATAACAGATATCTTGAGAACATCCCACATAAACATAAGTATAGTAAAAATTTTATTATATTCAGCATAAAAATATCAGCTTAAAGATGTATTCTATACAAAACTAAACCTTGTTGTTCCTTTCTTGTGTAATCACAGACTTGCACTGAATGGTACGTTGCTTCTATTTTTCTCTGTTTCTTTTCCCGTATTTCTTTCACATTTATTTATTTTTTGAAACAAAATTCTGATGTCATTCTGAAACTTCTTTTAACATGTTTTAATGTATAAACTAGGGTACATTCTTCACACTCTAGTCACACAGTGCTAAACGCAGATCATTATTATTCAAAAAGTAAAGACATCAGGCTTCAACATTTACAAGTATATTTATATGGTCGGAAAACATCAATGTTCTAATTTAAATATAACTGTATAGCAGGTGAAGAGATCACTGAAATCACATTTTGGGGGTGTACTGCTCCACTCTCTCTAACAATGCATCAGAATAGCCAGGGGAATAATATCTGAAAGTGAAGAAATCCAAATTTTGCATCAACACTAAAATTGCAAAATACAAATTTGATGAACATGATGATGATGATGATGATGATGATTATGATGATGGTTCCTCAAAAAAATGTTTTAGTTGAAATGACAATCTTGAGTTCATATGAACATAGTTGAGTGGCTTTGCTGTGCATTAATAGAAATAAGAAACGTGTCATCTGTGTATCTGAAATCTGAACAGGTTTGCCTCACATTGTGAGTGGACTCAAATTGTCACAGGCCTCTTCACTAATTGCATTTCTAATTATATTTTCAGTTTATGTTGAGAATATATATGTTTTTAATTGTGACATATAACTTAATAAATGTTGAGACAAAGTCCATTTTGCAATCATTATAGAATAATTTTTGAGGCTTTTGAACTTGTATATGATAGAAAAATCTTAGTATACTCTGGAACAAACTGACGATAACTAGCATTTTAATTTACCTGAATGTTTAAAATTGTTCATAAATAGCACAATGTCTAAAACAAAATGAAATACTTTGGCCATAATATATATTTAAATAATCCTGACTCAAAAATTGTAGAACTTATTTCCTGGTATATTTTGCTGTTTCTTGTCAGGTACCTTACTGCGGAGTTAAATCAACATATAAAGAAGCACAAAATGAATTCTTTTCTTGCTGAAATGCATAAACTACATTGTTGAGTCAATGTACATCTATCCCCCAGAAAATCAAGATCAGTCACTTGATGGCCAACATTATATGTTGGTTTTACTCTGTAGTAATGCACATGAGGAGATACAGTGAAATAGGCCTGGCAATGAATTGTGCAATGTATTGTTTGTGTCCACATTATTTAAATTTACAATGGGAAACATTGTTATAATATATATTACAGTGGCTTAGAAAGAGCAGTGGTGGAAGAAAGTTTGATTTACTGAAATAGGAGGCAAGGGCCAACAAGCATGAAGGTGAACACGCAAAATAATTATAGACACCTTGGGCATGATACTGCATAAGGCAGGGGAACTGGCAAAATATCAAGTCTTTCCAGCAGGCCATGTAAGAGTTACATTCTGCAAGTGAGCTGCTATATTGTGATGATTTCATTAAGAAGATCAGTCTGCACTCAGTGAGTGATATGTGCAATATTATACTGTTCACCTTTACCTTACAGAACATTTCCGGCACTTATATTGAGCTGTTTGGTCCTGGAATTTCAAATCACATTTGTTTGTTTGTTTGTTTTAGTATCCAGAAGCCATGAGTTGTTAACCCTTAGGCTCGGTATTATGGATATCGCAACCTTTCGGCCTTGATTCCATTTTAAATACCGTAAATCTCGGAGAAATGTGGCTTTTCTGCCCACCCCCGGGAGTGAACCCGGACCACAAGGAGTTCGTCACCCGCTCACCGCGAAATCCGGTTTAGCCAACTTCGCTAGAGAGACGGGCCAAATCACATTTAAAAAGCTCTTAATGAGGATTTGAACAGTGAGCACAGAGTTGATAGCTTTATATGCCAGTGTGCTACTGCAGCATCAAGCACACCATATACAAAGAAATTCACTCGACATGTACTCCATAACTAAGAGTTAACTTGATTTTATGCATCTCATAATTTACCAGACAGAAACTGTATCAGTTTGTCTGTGCTGAATGTCCTTCTTTTTATTGTCCACCAGCTGTCAACTCTGGTGGTAATTTCTGGTTCATCCACTTCTGGACTTTGGTATTGATCCAGAACTTGAGTTTTGTTTGAACATTCAATTTTACAGATCTGGCTTTTTTTTTATGCAGACTGTTGGTTCCCTACCTCTCAGGCAGATGTTCTCTAACTTTAACAGAAACACTTGTAATTTGCCTACTTTTACAACATGCTGTTAGTGAAGCAGTAAGATTTTCTTCACCCCCCCCCCCCAACCTTTCCCCACCTAAACCTGCAAAAATGGGGCCTAAGCCCACATAGGGAGCTGAATATACAACTACCTTAACCACTTACTTTACAATTTCTTCTGGGTAGCAGCTGTTAATGGCATTTATATACTCCGCTAGGGCTGAGCCTGGTTCTGCTTTGATTTCTTGAATCTTTTTAAGGCCTCCACTGGTAACAAAAAGTTTACGTCCTTTGGCATCATGAGGAAGAACCTTGCTGAACTGCCCAACCACATATTTCAGGATGTTTGGGGGAGCATCATGAAGAAGTGGTTCTAAGGCTGGCAGGTGCACACATTTCTGAAGTATATTCTTTAAAGCTTTCTTGCTCTGTGAGATACAAACAATATAAATAAAAAGAATAAATGGTATAGACTCTTTTCACACCACTGGCTAGACTCATATTTTCCTAAATTAAATGGCACTTGATCAGGGATACAGTTAACATCATGCTAGAAAATCTTACTTCACAGAGCATTTCCTGATACTAGTTTTAGACTGGGCTGACCTGGGAGCCCTGGGTCAATTATAAAAATACTTGGATGCAATTTTGACCCAAAGACATTCAAGCCAGCAGGCAAGCATTAGCCGCTGTGCTTTCAGCAGCTCTCAGATTTTAAAAATAGATAGTATTCTATTCATCTTCCCAAAGTTTATGCTGTCTGTGGTTAGTGGTTATGTCTATCCACAATCTTTTCTCTTATGAACTTTTAGTCAATTCTGACGCAGATTATCCTCCTTGTCATGATGTCAAACTGTCCAGAATCTTCTCTCTAGGTCTCTTTTGCCTCTCTTCTCCTCCAAAGTTCCCACTGTCACAATGTACTCCAGTTTTATCAGTCTCATGACATGACCAAAGAATTTAGATTGTCTCCCTCTGATGTGTGCTATGAGTTCTATTTGTGAGTCAGTTTCTTTTAAGACATCTTCATTACTCTTTTTATTTGTGCAGGGTATTCTCATATTTCATCCATAAAACCACATCTCCGCATCTTCCAAATAATTTATCACTAAACCAACTGTCCATGATTCACTTCCATATTTAAGGATATGATTTATATAGCTTTTAAGAATTCTATTTCTTATCTCAATTGATAGAGAAAGATTGCATAGAATGTACTTCATTTTAATACTTTATCACAGTGTAATTCAATGAATTCAGTGACAACTGAACTGGGATTAGTTCGGTAAAAAGGGTTATGCAAGAGGGCAAAGAAGATAGTTAACTAATACTGAGCTTGTGCCATCAGTTGCTTCACACTGAGAGATGTGCTGAGAGGATCTGACAACTTTTGACTTAACTGTTTGCTGTAGAGTGAGAATGTTCTGTTGACTAACAGTAATTTCACACATATTTTAGCACATTTTAGAGAAAAAAATAAAATGTCAAAATCTATCCAGCCTTACAAAGTAAATTGTTTCTATTTATGGCAGATTAAAAAGTTTATATTTATCATTGATCACTTTAAATATATAAAATACTTGTCATCATTTCTGTGCCACATTATGACAACAGTGAGAATAGACATGTTGTGACCAACATAAATTTTAGAGGAAAGAGAAAGATAGAGGAAGACAACAGGAGAGGATTTTTGACAGTCTTTTGTCATGCCATGAAGGAAGGAATGTTAGCACATGAACTAATGCATGCTGTTGGAGGCCGCAAGCTGTGAAGGTGCATTGTTGCCAAGGTTGGCAAGGCACTTGATGATAATACTTGTAGCACACATTATCCTACTGTAAGCCCTACAAATATTAACTCTTGCTGTCTCTGACAGCTATTTCAAAGTATCCACACTCTGTGTTAAATTATGTTAAAGTGGCTACTGATGAAACAGAAGGTGGTAATATGACAACCAGATAGTAAACATTAGATGTTTGGTTTGTGCTAATCATTTCTATCACACATGGATTTCATCATAACTGTTTTAGTTGTCTCCCTTAGAACACAAAACTAGAATCACTTATGATATACAAGTCGGCACTGTGGCTAAGTCGATGCGAACGCTTCGTAATGCCGGGTTCAATCCTAGCTGCGGGCCATGAGCCTTGTGTTGATTTTGACAGTGGTATCAAGAAAGCTGACTGTCCAGAAAGCAATGGCAAACTAGTGGACATAAATTTGCCTAGAAAAACCACACAACAGCCAGGGGCTGTCACAACAGCCAGGGGCTGTTGGGGTTGGTTCTGATATGTCCTGTAAAGGATACGCAACTAACCTTATGATATACAAACAGTAGCACTATTAGGGATCTGGATGAATGTTTACAAAACTAATACAAGCTATAAATATTATTTTGTCAGTTAGTGTTTTCATTTTCAAATTGTATCTGGAAAGTGAAGTGACCTAGTCTGCCTTCTCTTTTTGATTGCCAAGAAATGTTATAACTTGTACAATAGGGCTATCCAACTAAGCTTACTCAGGGACCAGACTGTTGAAAATGAGGATGGTTATGAGTCAAAGGCCTGGATCCCAGCATAGAAAGATCATTAATACAATACAAATAGCAATGATGTGTGGGCCACTTGCTAGGCATCTGCGGGCCAGATTCGACCTATGGATCACTAGTTTAATGGTTTATTAGATTTATTTACAATTCATTCATACTTTTGCCTGTAAGTCCTCTGATGCATCTGTTCTTAGGTAGCACTGAAGAAGTTTAGGCAGTACGTTTGCTGATGCAACTGCCTTTGCGTGCTCTGGGGTGTGCCGGCCTATCTGTCCTAAAGCCCAAGCTGCAGCTGCTTGAATCGGCCATTCTTCCTTAAGGAGATGAAAACCCAGAAAATAATAAGAGACCTTACAAATGACACTAAAGATTTGTTATGCATGTTAAAAGTAGAAATAAACTAGAAGACTTAGTGATGGATGAGATACTTGATAATAAAGGGCCAGAAATGGGCAAAAAATACATGACTGAATGGCTTGGCCTTGGCAGTATAATCAAAGCAAAAACACAGATCTGATACAAGACTAGTGATCATGTTAAATCATGATCACCAATGCTTATCAGTATAGCACACATCATGATGATGCTGTCTCCAGAGATGTAATGATAAAAAAAATATTTCGGCCACAGCAGGATCCAACTAGATGCAATTGAATAAAAAGTTTTGTTGTGACCCTGCAGAATAATAATGAGCACAGCTATAAACATAAATTACATGTACCACAGCGATCACAGACAACATAAATTGAATACTCCATTTATGAATTCGTATTCAGAACATGAATAAAATATTCAACAAAATCTTTTATGAGCAAAGAAAAATAGGTTAAAGCATACCACATACAACAAACATACCAGTTTTGATAAATGTTGTTAAGTACAGACCAAACATGATGTAAACTGTACAGAAAATTAAGAACAACATACACTATATGAATGTAAACAGGAAATTTAAAAAGACTATTACAGTCGCCACACAGATCTAAAAGAAATCAACAAACTCACAAACCTTTGATACAATAACTGCCATGGCAAGATTCTCTGTGTGAGCTGCCACATAACCAAGCATCATGATCCCTGGCAATCTGATATTTCCCTTAGTCTCACCAATGTAGTCAACAACTGCTGCAACACCTCCAGCATTTACAATAAGCTGCGACAGCTGGGGAATGCAGACACACATTTACATTAAGCTGCGACAGCTGGGGAATACAGACACACATTTACAATAAGCTGCGACAGCTGGCGAATGAAGACACACATTTACAATAAGCTGTGACAGCTGGGGAATGCAGACACACATTTACAATAAGCTGTGACAGCTGGGGAATGCAGACATACATTTACAATAAGCTGTGACAGCTGGCGAATGCAGACACACATTTACAATAAGCTGTGACAGCTGGGGAATGCAGACACACATTTACAATAAGCTGTGACAGCTGGGGAATGCAGACACACATTTACAATAAGCTGTGACAGCTGGGGAATGCAGACACACATTTACAATAAGCTGTGACAGCTGGGGAATGCAGACACGCATTTACAATAAGCTGCGACAGCTGGGGAATACAGACACGCATTTACAAAAAGCTGCGACAGCTGGGGAATGCAGACACACATTTACAATAAGCTGCGACAGCTGGGGAATGCAGACACACATTTACAATAAGCTGCGACAGCTGGGGAATGCAGACACACATTTACAATAAGCTGCGACAGCTGGGGAATGCAGACACACATTTAACCAAAATATGCACATCTTATATTGGCTAATAAACAGCATCCTTTCTCTGAAGCTGAAATATTTTGGTAATATCAAGCGTCACGACAGGCTGGAAAAAATTATAGCAGAAGGAATGGTACCAGGAAGGAGGGGCAGGGGCCAACTGACATGAAGATGGGCACAGGATATAAGTGACTCCTTGAGTATGAAAGTACATGAAGCGGGAGAACTGGTGAGAGGACGAGTTTTTTTCAGGCAGACTGTAATGACAGCGACGCTCTGCAAAGGACCTGCTACATGATGATGCACATCTTATCTCCAGAGCAAAGGCAAGACTGACACTCAAACTGCTGCTAGTAACATCAGAATTGGATCTGTGTACTGACTTCTGAAGACAGGAGAAGAAGACTGTATGGGAATGTCCCAAGTATTGTGATATGGGTTCTTAACACTCATGCACATCTTTCTTTTCTTAAAAAAATGCAGCAAAGTAAATAATCAGTTATTCACCACCTTAGCCAGTATATATATTTTTAAAATCAAGAATTACATGAAAGTCAAATAAAAGTTGCATCTAATGGTCAATTACATCAAAAATTTGTTTCTATCGAACAAAATTTCCAGCATGTCTGCCAAACACACCACTACTGCTGACAGTTATATTGAATCTCTCCCCCCCCCCCCCTACCCCACCAACCTTTTCCAAAATATTCTGAATTTCTCTCAAAACAAAATATTTAGTCAATTCACATCCATTTCATTTTCAGAAATCTTATGTATAATAAAGGTTCAGGTCACTTTTACTCTCCACAAAGTTCTGTTCTATTATCGGTCTCTGAAGCACACAGTTTAATAATCATAACAATTTTTTTTTTTATTTTCATAGTTGGGCTTTACAAAGCCCAAACAGTGTACACTGCACCCTACCTGACCAAAGACTGAAGTTGCTTTACCTCTGGTGTATGCTTTGCAATTTCTCTGATGAGAGTAGCAACATTTTTCTTCACATGCTCATCAGAATCTTTCAGGCAGGTAAATACGGCAGGGAAAATATCTGCTTCGACCACCATTTCAGCCAGATCCACTGTGTGCTTAGATATCTGGCTAAGAGCTGAAAACACTTGACGCTGTGGACAGTAGTGTTAAATGAATGTGATAAGTACTATTTTGCATTTATAGCATTAAACAAGCACACAATAACAATAATTTAATAAATATCTAACACTTTTCATTTTTTAATCAAAGTTTTTATATCTACATCTAATGTAATTGATATTTTATCAATACTTCATATTATTATTAAAATATTAATTTAGTACTAACTCAGTAATGAATTGCTATGTGATTATATTGTTACAGTCACTTACAAAGAGCAGTAATGAAGACACAGTTCTTAGAACAAGAGTTAGACATCAGCCAGAACAAAGATTTGAGAGACTAGACACCTTGCATATGAAAGGGTAAAAGATCAAGATTCTTTTATGGAGGCCATGACAGGAGTGATATCCTACAAAGAACCTGCATGATTGGCAGTCATCTCCAGGGCAAAGTGGTCAAACCATTTACCTCCCAATTTGAAGGTTGTGTGTTCATGTTTTATGAAGATCTCTGGGCATCATAGCTGGAGTAATAGTTTGAGCTTTCAGCAGGTGGCCAGGCCTTCTGCAAAGAGAGGCTTTGTCTTTGATAACCTGGTTCAAGGAAGTCAATCCTCTCGACTATAATTGTTAACTTCAACCTACTACATGATGACGTAAAGAGAAGTGAGTAAAAAGTAAAAGTAAAGTAAAGGACCCTTTTCCACACCTTAAGGCGTATAGGGCATATAGGGCTAGACCTATATTTTTATAGACCAATCGGCACTAGATGGGTGTTGTGGTCAGTATCACGCCGGCCGCCTTTACTTTCCCGGGACTGCACCCGGTACCCACTTAAGGCTGGGTCAACCCGGGAACCAAGGTCAATTTTGAAAAAAGTCCGGCTCCACCAGGGAGCGAACCCACGACTTTCCGATCCGCGGCGAGCGTCTAGCCAATAGGCCACAGCGACTCCCAAAGAGAAGTGAAGCAAAGAATATTTGAGAACCAGGGATGTGAGCCAGAAGAAATAAAGAGATCCAGGAATTCTGAACTATTGGTAATAGAAGAAAAGAACTAGGAATTTGAATGAAAAGGCATGGCATATATCAGAAAGCAAGAGGTCAGTACTGTAGAAAGTAAGCAGAATGAAGCCCACAAGAATTTATTTATTTTTTTTTTTTTTTTCAAAGTCCATGCTGTGTGCCATTGATAGTCATTCTATTCACACAACCTTTTGTCTTGTGTTCTTTCAATCACCTCTGACACATATCATCCCCCATGCAATCGTGCCAAACTGTTCAGCATCTTCTCTCTCAGCCTCCCTCTGCCATGATGTACTCTAGTTTTCTCCTTATCACATGATCAAAGAATGTAGATTGTCTCTTTCTGATGTGGGAAATCAACTCTCTTCGTAAGTTAGTTTTTTTTAAGAGACCTTTATTACTCCTTTTATCTGTCCAGTGTATTCTGATCATTTTTCTATAAAACCACAACTCTGCAGCTTCCAAATAATGTTTTACTAATCTAACATTTGTCCATGATTCACTTCCATGTATCAGGAGATGATTTGTATAGTTTTTAAAAAGAATTTAGGAACCATTTTGAGAACTATTTCAATTACAACCAACATATCTGAACTGCTACCTTGAGATTTGCATCTGGATTGAGGATCATCTGAGCTAAGTGTGCTATAGCCCCAGCATCAACAACTGTTTGCGCTAGCTCTGGTGAATGCTTGCAAATGTCACTCAGAGCTGATGCAGAAATCCGCTTCAAAGAAATCTCAGGCTCCTGGATGCAAAGGACTAAGAGTGGCACAGCACCAGCATCAACCACAGCCTGTGCTAGTTCTGTACAACACAAAGTTCAAATTTAATTACTGTTTTAGCATCTAACCTGTGTCGTAAAAGTCAACTAATTGGGAGCTTCCTTCCAAGTCGGAGTGCATCTGCCTGAGAGGCAAGGAACCAACAGTCTGCACATAAATGTGTCAGATCTGTCGAATGGATGTACATGCAACACTCAGGTTCTGGAACAGGACTGCAGTCCAGAAGTGGACGAACAACCAGAACTTTCCACCAGAGTTTACAGCTGGTAAACGCAAAGAAGAAGAACAAGTTTTAGCATCTAGCAGATGGGAGCCAATATGGTGTAGCCTCTAGACGCTTGCCTCTGAGCCAAAGGTCTTGGGTTCAATTAGGCGTGGAGTCAGATTTTCTAAAAATAAGCCAGTCTCCAAACCAGCCTAAAACTGGTATCAAGTTGAGCCGGGGAAGTAAAGGTGGCCAGTGGGATGTTGACCACATCGCCAGTGTGCCAATTATCTATAAACATATGAGTCTAGCATCATATGCCTGATGTGCCACTGCTGTAAAAGGGGTTATTACTTTATCTAATTCTAGCAGATCAGATACACTTTTATATACAGTAAAACCTCATTAACATGAATTGTCTTAAGAAGAACATTCTGTCAAAATAAACAAACTTTTGGTCCCTGTAGGGATGTATTATTTTTGGTCCCCACTATGCACAACTTTGGTTTCACATGAATCTTAATTTTTCAGTCCCTCTGAATTTGTGTCTACAAGGCTTTACTGTATTAATTATTCTCATTCAAGCCATCAATTAATCTGATATCAGTCAATCAGGTTTAGTCTTCACAATGAAGGTTGATTGCAAGTCTCTAGCCTTGATTGTACACATGAAAGACTTTTATTTGTCCCTATCTTTTCCTATTTGTATCGCTATCTACCTTCTGTTTCCCTAACTTCAACATTTCTCTTCAGTATCATGTATTTTTAAGCTCAAATTTGCCTTTTTTTCTCTCTCAAACATCTCCTTTTATCAGCCCTTTTCTCATGTTCAGTCTCCTTAGAAATTATGTATCTGATTTTCTTTGTTTCCCTGAAATAGTTAGCTAGCCGAGGTTTCAACCTCACTGCAGATGGGACACCCTATAACTGCTCCATTCCTGTGCCAGTAGAAATCACAAGATATGTCCTTCACTGTCCCATTTTAAAACTAGCAAAAAAACTTGTCAGTCCAAGTAAAATCTTGAAGCTTGCACATGCAAAGTAAAAAAGGTCTAAGACAGCTGCGATGCAGTGAATATAAAATAACTAAACATAATCTCCTTAAACAAGATTATCATTAATTAGCTTGGTATCTTCTTGTAATGTAACAGATTTTCTGTTAACCAATTTCGGTTAAATTGATCTGGAAGCCCAGTTTACTTTATTTATTTGTGTATTATTGAGCATTCAAACACAATAGCAACTGGTACAGCAGAAGAAATGTAGTGTATGCAATACCCTCATTGCGTCTAAATCTCATCAGATAATCTTCTGCTTCTGTGTTTGCCTTTTAAAGGGTGGTTAGCATGTTGTATTTGCTGTATTATTGTTTACAGTTAGGCTGCAAAGTCTATGCCTTTTGGGCCCAACACATTAAGTTTCAGCAAACTTTTAATTAATCACCTTTTACAATATGCTTGTGAGTAATTGCTGGCTCAGAGGTTAGAGCATCAGGCTATCACATGGGAGACCCGAGTTCAACGTTCTGTAAGATTTTTGAGTTTTTCTATCAGGGCAAAAAAAAGATTCCTAACCTTCACAGTCCATGGTAACAGCACTAGCCATATGGCCCTAAATCCACTGGCTCAGGACCCCTGTGTCTACACTGCTCTAAAAAGTGGTAAAAACAGAAAGTAGTGACAGTGACAGTTTACAATATGCTTGTTAAGCGATAGTAAATCTATTCTCATTTTCACTCAAAATAGGTCCCCAAAACCCACAGAGGGAATTAAATGGTCACTGGATTATAAAAAATTAGTTGCATATCCTTTACAGGATGCTGCAGAACCAACACCAGCATTTTTGTGGCTGTTGTGGTTTTTTACATTCAGTAGTTTGCTATTGCCTTTTGAACAGTCAGTTCTTGGTACCAATGTCAAAACCAGTGCAAGACAAATCGTCCTCAGCTGGGATCGAGCCCAGCACCCCAGCATTACGAAGAGTTCACAACACCTAAGCCACAGATGCAGACCAATGGATTTTAAACATGCTTATTTAGCTAAATATCTGATTTCATGATTACAAACCTCCATTGTGTCGTGCAATGTAACCTAAAGCCCATGCTGCTGACTCTTTGACACCAGGATCAAACTCCTCCAGACAAATCACAAGGGCATCAAGTGCACCACAGTCAACAACAGATTGAGCAAGCTGAGGAGAGTGTTTGGCCACTGCACGCAGAACGAAGGCTGCTGCCTTTTTGTAGAATCTCTGTTATGAATTTTTTTTTAAATAGAAGAGTCCAAAGATGTTGAAGTGAGAGCATACAACTTGAAATAGAAACACAATGATAAGGTTATGCTTTAATACAGAGCCTGCAAAGACTTAGCAAGTGGCCAGCTGATCACAGCCAGCTCTACAGCATTAACAATCTTTTTTGCTGCAGCATGATGACTGGCCTGTAAGTTTAAATTTTAAAAAAATTTAAAGATCCCTTTTCAGTTAAATTCAGGGTAACAAGACAACATATCTATTATAATGGCATCATTATTATTTTAAAAATGAACAGCACTGTACATACTCGTATTAGCATAAGCTTTTAAGGTGAACACAGTATAACTAAAACCATAGCTAACTATCATCACAACATATATATCATTGTTCATCTTTCCCAGAATTCATTAGCAGATTCAGGAATGAAGGCAGCTTGCTCAGGCAATTACCATACACTGTACAGATCACATGGCAGTCACGGTAGTGCAGTGAGACTATGGTGTGTTTCTTCTTTTTTCTCTGCATTCAACAGTTGCAACTTCTGCTGGAAAGTTCTGGTTGTTCATCCACTTCTGGACTTTAGCCTTGTTCTATAACTTGAGTTTCATGTGCTTATCTGTTTTGCAGATCTGGCTTATTTGTATGCAGCATGTTGGTTCTTAACGGAGATACACTCAAACTTCAAAGGAAACACTCTTAATTAGCTGGCTTTTACAGCAGCTTGGGACAGAACTGGGTCTATTCTATCTCCCCTTCCCCCCCCCCCCCCCCCCCACAAAGGGGCCCCAGAAGCCATATGCGGAGGGTCATTTTTTTAAGTCCAGCTTGAAGGTTGAAGTAGAAATTTATTTTTACTGATCTTTGCTTCTAGGTTGACTCAGCTTAAAATTGGTGCAAGGCAGAGTTTTGAGAAGTACAAGTGGTTGGAATGTTATGTCCCTGTGTTGGTTCCGAGGTCTCAGTGTGGGAAAACAAGAACAGACCCACTGCCTTCCCAAATAGCTTGTTGTAAAAGTCGAGTAATTAGGAGCTTCATTCGAAATCAGAGTGCATCTGAGAGGTAAGGAACCAACAGTCTGCATACAAATAAGTAAGATCTGTGAAACGGATGTGCACACACCGCTCTAGTTCTGAAACAAGGCTAGTCTAGAGGCTGGAAAAACAACCAGAACTTTCTGCCGGAGTTTACAACCGGTGAACATAAAGAAGAAGATTAGAAGAAGAAAAATGTTATTTACCGCATCATTCATAGGCAGCCAGTTTGTTTCTAAAAAAAATATGAGGTTGGCAATATGAGGTTACTACATACATTGCAAATAGTAACATAGTTACATTTTGTTCCGCTAGAGAATACACCAGCTGCGGTAAAATATCTCCTCGAACAACAGCTTCCGCCAAGTCATCGTTATAGTTGGCCAATCTTCCCAGTGCCAGGGCTGCAGTCTGTTGAATTGTTGGTACTATATCCAACAGCAGTGGTCGTAGAAGGGACATGACACCAGCATTTTGAAGAGTTTCAATGTTTTGAGGTCTTGAGGCCAGTTCTGCCACTGTCTGCACAAAGTGTGTTCTAGCTTTTTGGTACTGTTCAAAGACTTTTGAAAAAATGTTAGTTTTAAAATAAGTGAAAATGTACAAGTTATTATACAGAATATCACCACCATTCCCTCCTGTTCCCACCCCCCTCCCCCGCCATTTTTTTTTCAATCTCTGTCCTCCAGTTTTTGGTCTATCTGTAACTATTATCTTTCTGTGTGTCTTCTGTCTGTCCCTGCTTGCATGTCTGTACCTCTCTCATTGCATATCTTTCTTTCTCATTCACTCTCTCCCTTCCTCTCTCTCCCTTCCTCTCTCTCCCTTCCTCTCTCTCTCTCTCTCTCTCTCTCTCTCTCTCTCTCTCTCTCTCTCTCTCTCTCTCTCTCTCTCTCTCTCTCTCTCTCGCATGCACACACATACACACATCTTCTTATCAATCAAAAAAGTTTGCTGTCTTAAAATAAGTTTTCTAATCATGGCTACTCTATAATACTACAGACATATCCTTCAAGTTTTTAAAGTATAAATTATATTGCCAGCCGTGACAGAACTCAGTACTAACTAGTATACATAGTAATTCTATAACAAATAATCAGGCTATCCTCCGAATAATGGGCACAAAAGATGGCGGCCAATGGAGGCCAAAAACAGGGCCTCAGTCAGGTGTCAATTGCGCACTTCCGGCGACCTAATTTGCGGTTTTCCGCCAACTACCGCCAGCGCCAAGGGTATCCCCCCAAGGGTATCGCCGCATGGATTGGGGCTCAACTAGATGGCTGGGACTCATGAGCAAAGCTGCAGGAGATGCGGAAGCTGCTGCTAGTGAGTCCCAGCCATCTAGTTGAGCCCCAATCCACGCCGCTAATGCGGCGTAGGGGATACTCTCGGCGGTGGCGGTAGTCACTGGAAAACCGCAAATTAAGTCACCGGAAGTGCGCAATTGACACGTGACTGAGGCTCTGTTAGGGTGTTTTTGTGGCCGCCATCTTTTGCGCCTGTTTTTCGGAGGATAGCCAATAATCATATCAATAATTAATATACTCAGTAGAAAAATTGTCTGAAAGAAAGAAGTTCTTCTTCTTAAGGTTTAATGAATATAAACTCTAGCAGAAAGTACTGGTTATTCCCTCTACTTCTGCTCCGCAATATGAGTTTTGCAAGCATATCCCTTTTACACATTTATCTTAACTTTATGCATAATGTTGGTGCGTCGCCTCTCCCTCAGATGCACTACAACTTCCAAGAGGACAGCCCTAATAAGTCACCTTTTACAACACGCTTGGGTCAGTGGGTCTGTTACACCTCCCTCGTCCCCATAGGGGCCCAGAACCCACAAGGGGAGCTATAATGGTTTTTATTACATCGATTTTTTTTTTCCACTCGGGAGCTATGGGTCCTATTGTGTGTATGGAGGGGGGCAGACCCACCGTCTCCAAGCAAGCTTGTAGCAACATTCAACTAATTAGAGCTGCTTCCTTTGAAGGTAGAGTGCATCTGCCTGAGAAACCAGGAACCATCAATGTGCGTACATATAAGCCAGATTAAAGTTCTGGAACTCCAAAAGTCCAAAAGTGAACAACTAGAACTTTTGGTTCTCCTTAAAACTATGGCCACTTATTATGGATTACGTCGGAGTTCAGTCCCCTGGCCGCATTGCAATTACGGAGTGGACAAGGGGGAATGACACAAATGACGTACATACTGTGTGTTGGCGATAGACAGCTTTAACCGATAAGGTAATTACTGTGTGTTGGCAATAGATGCACTGCTGTCATAATAGGGTTAGGGTTAGTGTTTGGGTTAGAGTTAGGGTTAGGGTTTTGGTACTCCTTAAAACTACAGTCACTCCTAACCCTACCCCTACCCCTAACCCTACCCCTAACCCAAACCCTAACCCTAACCCTATTATGACAGCAGTGCATCTATCGCAAACACACAGTAATTACGTCATTTGTGTCGTTCCATCTTGTCCACTCCGTAATTGCAATGCGGCCAGGGGACTGAACTCCGGCGTACTCCATAATAAGTGGCCGTAGTTTTAAGGAGAACCGAACTTTTCACGTGAGTTCTGCTGAACGCGAAGAATGAATGAATCAAGAACTGACATAACTGCACCTGAAACATTTGCTCACGTATTTCGTCTCTTTCTTTAGTAACCAAAGAAGAGTTGAAATGCTAATAGTACCAGTTTCAACCTGGGTAAAAGTCCGCCTCCGTTTCCCCTTTTTCCAGAACCTCTGCTTCTTCTAACTTCTGACTACACACCCCTGTTGAATTAGTCTTTCACTTTCAGAAGAAAAAGATATGATATATACTTTATCTGTACAAACCTTGAAGCACTTGTCGGCTCATCTTGGCAAATTAATCAAATCACTATCTATATGTGTTCTGAAACCCAGCAGTTGAATAGCTGCTGCCACTGCCCGTGTGTGGTTTGCAACCAAAACATCAGCGGCGGGTTGCTAGGTGAAAATAGCAACAAACCGCGGTAGCAGGCCCGGACAAACTGTTGCTCCGTATGTAAGACAGGCAGAACAATTGTTATAATTGTTTTGTCAGTCAAAATTAACAATAATAAATATTATTATATTATCATAAAGTAACTGTTAAATCTTTAAAATACCAAGTGAACTGTAATATTGGGATAACTATTGAATTTCTACCGCAATGCGATTAGTTACCTCTTATCTGATCAACGATGTCAAGTCCCACAAATATGATCAACATAAAGATACTGTATTGATCAGCACTCATAGAAAGAAGTAGAAAATGATTGCGATGATGATGATGTTGACAGTCAGTGGTCGGTGTTGACGGTGTTCACTAACAAGCAGAGGCGGGACTGTTGTCTCCGAAGAATGCGGCTCCAGGGTCGACCCATAAAGATGGGTACTTTATTACTGGGAAGAAAAAGCGACGAGAAAGGGAGCAGGGTCATTCACCATTGTGTATCGTGGTCTATAAATAACTTCTATGGGGCATCTTTTCCTCGTGTCGTTTCTGGAGTCTCATTGTATGAAAAACAATAATATATCCACTGCCTGCAAGAAAACATGTCGTAAAAATTGACTAACTGGGGCATCCTTTGAAGTCAGACAGCATCTGCTTGAGAGGCAAGGAACCAACAGTCTGAAAATTAATAAGCCAGATCTGAAAAACGGATGTTCACGCAGCAGTTAGGTTTTGGAAGACGACCAAATTCCAGGAGGTGTACAAACAACCAGAACTTTCCACCGAAGTTTACAGCTGGTAAGCTCGAAGAAGAAGGAGTAACACATAAGAGTCCTTCAATCTGCACTACTGGGTGGTAAATTGATACATGACAAGACAGATGTGATCAAGGCCTTTTGGGAACAAGTAACGAAGTCAGAAGAGAAACTATACTATTATGGCCTGGAGAGAATGATGCACCTGTGTGTGACCAGAGGGTTTGGCCGGCTTACTACACTCAGAAGAAAGGCAAGACGTACATATATAATCAGATTGCGACCGGTACCATTAGTACTGGAACTCTGCGCTTGCTGTTGAAGATGGGGACGGAACGCGTGTGGGAATGCCCCAAGTGCTCTGATGTCAATTTATAACTCAACTCAGATCATAAAAGTGCTTCAGATGCCTATGGGGGAGGGGGCTGCTTCAGCTCAGCAGTCTGCTAATACCTCTGTCTCACAACTGTAACAATTAATTCCAGGAATGATTTATATAGATGGCAAAAAAGGGCTTTTTATAAAATGGACGGAAAGGTGAGGACAGTGATCCTGAGCGATTCACAAGTAAATGGTATGGTAGGGAGGGGGGGGGGGGTACTTACTTGAAGTCTTGGGAAGTAAAGGCGTAATGTTGACCACATCACCCATCGGGTGCCGGTTGATCATAAAATATAGGTCTAGCCCTGTATACCCAATACGCCTAAAGGCGCGGAAAGAGTCCTTTCCTTTCCTTACTATCTCTCATAGACCATTATGTGTATCAGCTGAATCCATTGCACATTTTCTTTCCATAGTGGTCATGTCGGCAAGTGTGTCTACTTGGTTGTTACCTCTTACATCACTATTACCTGTCACACACACACACACACACACACACACATATATATATATATATATATATATATATATATATATATATATATATATATATATATATATATATATATATATATATATAATGTATGCATATCGTCACAACACCTTCCCTTTCTATTGCATTAACATATGCTCATGTAAAACATTAAATAATATATAGTATCAAGTATTAGACAATCGTAAATATTCAATATAAGAAAAGCAACAAAAACTGTAATCTAAACTATAATCCAGATGGGCTGAATTAGTACAATTATTAGACCTATATGTCAAGCACTATATGTTGAGCACCAGCAAGGAGATAAAAATTCGATTTTTGAGAGCATGCATCTTCCCTGTAGCAACATACGGATGTGAGTCGAGGACTAGGCCTATCTCCCAGAATATCTTGGACAAAGAAGAGGAGAAATACTGACATCTTGAAAGATCTGAACATCAAGGAAGATTGGCTAATAAACAGCATCCTGTCTCGGAAGCTGAAATATTTTGGTCATGTCAAGCGCCACGACGTATTGAAAAAAAAATTATAGCAGAAGGGATGGTACCAGGCAGGAGGGGCAGGGCCAACCAACACCAAGATGAACACAGGATATAATTGACTCTTTGAGTATGAAAGTACATGCGGTGGGAGAACTGGCGAGAGACCGAGTTTCTTTCAGATAGACCGTGATGAGAGTGACGTTCTGCAAAGGACCTGCAACATGATGATGAATATGTCAAGCTGCCAGACTATTCAGTTTCTTTTAGGTACGTCCCCTCTGTTTAACAATTATACATTACTCATTCTGACTGACTAGAACGTTTTAGAAATTACACACATCTCAGTTATAACCCTGAGGGTTTAACGAGATATTTTCTGTAATCAAGAAAAGTGACGATAAAAGATTAGGTACTACCCTCCAGTGTTGCCACTTTGGATGTTTTATATCCAGATTTAGATGTTTTCCCTTGCATTTAGATGGTGTTTTTGACGTTTAGATGGTATATTTTTTCTATACTCTTTTCATATGGAGTTAGATATTTTATACATTTTTTTTTTTTAGTGTCAGTTTAATCATTACTGTGTAAAATAGTTAATAAACTGTTCGAATCTAAACAGACTGATAACGTTAAATTACTTGACGATCTCACTTTGCTATTTTACTCAGTTGGTAAAAGACTGGTGTTGCCAACCTCTAAAGCTGATTTGCTCACTTGCACTAAAAAAAAGCTATTTGGCTCCTAAGCCACACATTGGATTTCAAATCAAATCAAAAATTGATGATTTAAAAACAACAGGACTGTTAACAGAGAATGAAGAGAACAACTTTAGAAAACGCTGTCAAAATTTCATAATCTCATTATTCAAGCAATTGAAGCAGAGACTTCCTGAAAATATAGATGTATTGAAAAATATGTCACTCTTTTCTGTGAGCAACATACTTCAGCCAGTAAAGGACATACCTAAATATTGTAAAGTTATGAAATTTTTAGGGGCTGCTGATATAAGTGTCGCGGAAGCAGAATAGCAGTTAACCAAAATAAACTTAGTTGAATGGACAAATCAAAAACAAAAAACAAAACAGAAACGGAAGCGTTTTGGAGTGAAGTGAGAAAATTAAAAGATGCCTCATCACAATAGTCCATTCTGTAAGTTCTTTGAATGTGCCATGTCTGCCATGATACTACCCAACTCAAATGCTGAAGTAGAAAGAGTTTTAAGTGCTATGAATTATATCAAATCTAAACTTGGAAACAAGATGAAATTAGACCTCTTAAATGCTGTCGACAATAAAATTTGGCCTGATGAGAATAGGAAAATGCTGTTCCACTTATCAGCTCCCTGATTGTGTATTAAAAGAAATTGGAACAGCTAAAGCATACCAGAGTCATTTTGGATCTGAAGCTTCATCATTCGAGCTAAGTTTATCCTGTGGATCTTGTGAAGCAGACATCAGTGAAGATAAGGACATGATTCTATAATGTGAGTCATTTCAATAGTTATGTAATTTGTGACTCTTTTCATTTGGATGTTTTTTCTAAATGTTTCTCGCGCAAAATTAGATATTTTTAGATATATTTTTTACTCCGTTCTGAATATTTATTTTTTTTGTCAAAGAAAAGTGGTAACACTTCAATCCTCTATCTAGCAGCTTAATTTTGTACTGCTAGCCGGTCATCAAGATGGCTGCTTCCATACAATTGATGAAAACCTTCAAGAGGTTACCTAATTGTTTGTTTTCCTCACAAGTGTCTTCGGGTAAATTAATGGTAATAAACAATTTTAAGTACATATTTTGGTGATTGTATGTATGTCTCGAAATGCTGATTACATACATTCAGTTTGTTAAATCATTTTCAGGTCAAGACATTTATTACATTAGTAATATTACGATTTACTTCAAGGAGGTCACCACCGTCAATCATGTCATTATTTTGTCCATGCAAGCTCAAAGTTTTGGTTTTGTTCGTAGTGAATCCCTTCACTTTTATATCACTTTAAGTGCTCATAGAACACGAAAAGTCATTTTAAACACATTGCATGCACTCATTGTGTAGCCTAAACAAGCATTTAGGCTCTCCTCCGAACTTCTACCCCCGCAGTAATCCGGCCTGAACTATCCGTTCGGTGCGTAGTCAGATTAAAAATACTGACTTGTCGGAGTTCCCGCCGAGGAACAAATTGCTGCAAAACTAGGAGTACCTTACAATGTCACGAGACGCAACATTGTACACGATAGTAGCAGACGATAAAAGCGAGCGTTGACAATTTCGAGACATTACAGACGATGACAGCGATAGACCGCACGCTCCCACGCAGATTAACAGTACTGTTCTTCCAATTGAGAGATTAGCAGCAGTAGATGTCAGACGTCGGCGTCTGTGGCTTAGGCGTTACGAACGCGCTTTGTAGTGCCGGGTTCGATCCCAGCTGCGGGCCTTGCGTTGGTTTCGACACAGTGGTATCGAGAAGCCAACCGTCCAGAAAGCAATGGCAAACTACTGGATGTAAACTTGCCTAGAAAAATCACAACAGCCAAAAAATGCTGGGGTTGGTTCTGCAACGTCCTGTAAAGGATACGCAACTAAAAACAAAAACAAAAAAAGATGTCAGACTTGTCAGCATGCGCAAAACGCAATTAAACTCACCGCCGAGTGTATCCCCCGCGCCGCTACGCGCGGCGCGGATGGGGGGCTAAACTAGGTGCCTGGGACTCACGAGCAAAGTAACAGGAGGAAGTTGCAGGAGATGCGGTAGCTGCTGCTCGTGAGTCTCAGCCATCTAGTTTCGCCCCTATCTGCGCCATGCGTAGCGGCGCGGGGAATACGGTCGGCAGTGAGGAATAGTCACAGACATAGGTCAGCAAGTAACATATCGCTGAGAGCCTGTTAGATAGAGCATTTGTGTCGTTTGTCCGAGCCGATCCTAGATTTGCCGTGATTTGTTCGTCGTCGGCAGAAAGTTCGACGATGGAAAGTGTCAAGGGTCGCTATTTTTGTCGCCTGCTACTATCGTCTGCAGTGTTGCGTCTCTTAGAATAGTCAGGTAATCAGAAACAATAAGAAACAGGTCTGCAAGTAACATATCGCTGAGACCCTGTTAGAGCAATTGTTTCGTTATACGGAGCCAGCGTATTTTTAATCTGACTACGCACCGAACGGATAGTTCAGGTCGGATTACCACGGAGGTAGAAGTTCGGAGGAGAGCCAGCATTTAAATATGTGCTGGGCGGGATAATAAAAAAAATATATATATAATAAATCATTAAAATTTGGGGGGAAAAAAATTTTTAATGTGATGTTTTTTGGGGGGGGTTGGTTTGTCTCATTTATATTACCTTTATGCTTTAAATTCATGTCACTAGGCACACATTTAACTTAGTGTTTCCATTGATTTTCTTTGCTGCTCGCATTTGTATAAATAATAAATAATACAATAACTATAATAACAGTTTACACATTACTAACAATTTTTTTTTCCAGTTTGCTTTGTGGATAGTTAAACATTGCAGATATAGATAATTTATTTCAAGCGAGCGAAAGAAGAAGTAGATAGTTTAAAAGTTATTAGTTAAATTAATTTCTGTAATGTTTTTTCAATTTAGCCTAGATATAAAAACATTTCAGGATCCTCGCTGGTGCTACAGAGTTTGTGCACTGCACTGAGATTCTTCAGATTCAGGCTTGAGTCAGAAGTAGAACGAAGCACTTATGGGTTACTACCCTTGTGCCGTGATGTTGATCCATCGTTTAAACCATCAGCATATTACTGCTGTTAAATTGCCTGCTGCTGAGTGATTTTTAATGTTCGTACAACGCCTGGTATTTTGCCCTCATCTGAGGCTGAATTTAAAGGAATTTCAAACGTTATCCTGATAATGTAAAACATCATATAGTCTGTGAATGTATCAAAGTTCAGGGTGTAAAATCAACAAGAGTAAGATTGTTGTTACAGCTTTCACTAAAACGTGAAAGATTTCTACGAATGTGATAAATGGATTATATAGTGAAGTAAATACGCGCGATATAAAGTTAACATAACGATTGACCCATTAGGGTCATGGAGGTGTATCGATTAAAGCACTAGCACGCAAAACCTGCCAACTTTCTCTGTCTTCCACTTGATAAGTAAGTGTATGATGTCTTAGTCCTGTGCATTTCTTGATGTTGTCATTCTAGGTTTTTCTTTACAATGACCCCCCTCCCCGGGCCAGTGTTTCTTGAAATCTTTGCAATTGAATCATGTCTCACCACCTGCCGGAACCAAGCTAGCTTGCAACATTTCACCACTGCCAAGAAAGGCTGCTGCTCATGTCTTGCAAATTTCTATATTTTGTCTCTGACATATTTATATTTATTATATTAGTTCTGTGTTTTAAATAACTCATTCAAAAATGCATCTGTGGCATTTACATTCAAAATCATGTATCCTCCTTTCCATTTCCACAGTGAGAGTCCAACTCTCACAGTCATAAAATAAAACAGACAATACCAGTGATTTGTAAATATTGATCTTGACTGCGATGCTGATTTTGCTTTTCTGCGTTATATTCAGTTAGGACATCGCGGCTGTTATCATATAAAGTGTATTTCTGTGTGTGGTGTCTGTGTGTCTGTCTGTACTTGGCTGAATACTTACGTACGTATGTCTATAGATGTATGTATGTATGTGTTTGCGTGTGTGCACATGCAAGTGTGTGCATGCATTTTACTATGCATGCTTTTGTATTTTTCTTGATGTTGATATGCATATTATTATATGAACATAACATGCTTTATTGATAAAATACACATGCTGTGTGAAAGATGTGTGTTTTGAAGAGCCAAATATAAGACGGGCGTGCATGCCCAATTTAGTTGTGACTATTTAAAAATTAAGTTTGTTTATTGCCAGTCATTACCAAGTTCTCAAGTCCATTCTTTCTTATATCCTCTGAAAACAACATCCTAATCATCCGCCTATCATCTCCTAATGGAGCATAAACATTCAATCAGATTCTTTGAACATTTGTTTTTGATTGGTTGGATTTTGCAGCTTGTTTTCCACCCAGTGAGGTAGTCAGTGTCATTGGTGGTAGTTGAGGTTCCCATTTCACTGCAGATGGCTCACCATACAGCTGCTTTGTTTCCTGTGCCAGTGGAAATCAAACAAAATGTCCTTCACTGTGGTATTTCTTCTTCTCCCTTGCATTCATCAGCTGTTAACCTCCAGAGAATGTTCTGGTTGTTCACCCAATTCCTGAGTTTAGTCTTGCTCCAGAACGTGAGTTTTGTGGGCACATCTGTTTTACAGATCTGGCTTATTTATGTGCATACTGTTGGTTCCTCGCCTCTTCGAAGGAAACACCCCTAATAAATCAGCTTTTAAGCTATGCTTGGTGGCAGCAGTGGGTCTGTATGCTTGTTGGTGGCAGTAAGCCTATATGCTTGTTGGCGACAGCGGGTCTATATGCTTGTTAGCGGCAGTGGGTCTATATGCTTGTTGGTGGCAGTGAGCCTATATGCTTGTTTGCGGCAGTGGGTCTGTATGCTTGTTGGTGGCAGTGGGTCTGTATGCTTGTTGGTGGCAGTGAGTCTGTATGCTTGTTGGTGGCAGTGGGTCTGTATGCTTGTTGGTGGCAGTAAGCCTATATGCTTGTTGGCGACAGCGGGTCTATATGCTTGTTAGCGGCAGTGGGTCTATATGCTTGTTGGTGGCAGTGAGCCTATATGCTTGTTTGCGGCAGTGGGTCTGTATGCTTGTTGGTGGCAGTGGGTCTGTATGCTTGTTGGTGGCAGTGAGTCTGTATGCTTGTTGGTGGCAGTGGGTCTGTATGCTTGTTGGCGGCAGTGAGCCTATATGCTTGTTAGCGGCAGTGGGTCTATATGCTTGTTGGCGGCAGTGAGCCTATATGCTTGTTGGTGGCAGTGAGCCTATATGCTTGTTGGCGGCAGTGGGTCTGTATGCTTGTTGGTGGCAGTGGGTCTGTATGCTTGTTGGCGGCAGTGAGCCTATATGCTTGTTAGCGGCAGTGGGTCTATATGCTTGTTGGCGGCAGTGAGCCTATATGCTTGTTGGTGGCAGTGAGTCTGTATGCTTGTTGGTGGCAGTGGGTCTGTATGCTTGTTGGCGGCAGTGAGCCTATATGCTTGTTGGCGGCAGTGAGCCTATATGCTTGTTAGCGGCAGTGGGTCTATATGCTTGTTGGCGGCAGTGAGCCTATATGCTTGTTAGCGGCAGTGGGTCTATATGCTTGTTGGCGGCAGTGAGCCTATATGCTTGTTGGTGGCAGTGGGTCTGTATGCTTGTTGGTGGCAGTGGGTCTGTATGCTTGTTGGCGGCAGTGAGCCTATATGCTTGTTAGCGGCAGTGGGTCTATATGCTTGTTGGCGGCAGTGAGCCTATATGCTTGTTGGTGGCAGTGAGTCTGTATGCTTGTTGGTGGCAGTGGGTCTGTATGCTTGTTGGCGGCAGTGAGCCTATATGCTTGTTGGCGGCAGTGAGCCTATATGCTTGTTAGCGGCAGTGGGTCTATATGCTTGTTGGCGGCAGTGAGCCTATATGCTTGTTGGTGGCAGTGAGTCTGTATGCTTGTTGGTGGCAGTGGGTCTGTATGCTTGTTGGCGGCAGTGAGCCTATATGCTTGTTGGCGGCAGTGAGCCTATATGCTTGTTAGCGGCAGTGGGTCTATATGCTTGTTGGCGGCAGTGAGCCTATATGCTTGTTAGCGGCAGTGGGTCTATATGCTTGTTGGCGGCAGTGGGTCTATATGCTTGTTGGTGGCAGTGAGCCTATATGCTTGTTGGTGGCAGTGAGCCTATATGCTTGTTGGCGGCAGTGAGCCTATATGCATGTTGGCGGCAGTGAGCCTATATGCTTGTTAGCGGCAGTGGGTCTATATGCTTGTTGGCGGCAGTGAGCCTATATGCTTGTTGGTGGCAGTGAGCCTATATGCTTGTTGGCGGCAGTGGGTCTATATGCTTGTTGGCGGCAGTGAGCCTATATGCTTGTTAGCGGCAGTGGGTCTATATGCTTGTTGGCGGCAGTGAGCCTATATGCTTGTTGGTGGCAGTGAGTCTGTATGCTTGTTGGTGGCAGTGGGTCTGTATGCTTGTTGGCGGCAGTGAGCCTTTATGCTTGTTGGCGGCAGTGAGCCTATATGCTTGTTAGCGGCAGTGGGTCTATATGCTTGTTGGCAGCAGTGAGCCTATATGCTTGTTAGCGGCAGTGGGTCTATATGCTTGTTGGCGGCAGTGGGTCTATATGCTTGTTGGCGGCAGTGAGCCTATATGCTTGTTGGTGGCAGTGAGCCTATATGCTTGTTGGCGGCAGTGGGTCTGTATGCTTGTTGGTGGCAGTGGGTCTGTATGCTTGTTGGTGGCAGTGAGTCTGTATGCTTGTTGGTGGCAGTGGGTCTATATGCTTGTTGGCGGCAGTGAGCCTATATGCTTGTTGGTGGCAGTGAGCCTATATGCTTGTTGGCGGCAGTGGGTCTGTATGCTTGTTGGCAGCAGTGGGTCTATATGCTTGTTGGTGGCAGTGAGCCTATATGCTTGTTGGCGGTAGTGGGTCTATATGCTTGTTAGCGGCAGTGGGTCTGTATGCTTGTTGGTGGCAGTGGGTCTGTATGCTTGTTGGTGGCAGTGAGTCTGTATGCTTGTTGGTGGCAGTGGGTCTATATGCTTGTTGGCGGCAGTGAGCTTATATGCTTGTTGGTGGCAGTGAGCCTATATGCTTGTTGGCGGCAGTGGGTCTGTATGCTTGTTGGCAGCAGTGGGTCTATATGCTTGTTGGTGGCAGTGAGCCTATATGCTTGTTGGCGGCAGTGGGTCTATATGCTTGGTGGCAGCAGTGGGTCTGTATGCTTGTTAGTGGCAGTGAGCCTATATGCTTGTTGGTGGCAGTGAGCCTATATGCTTGTTGGTGGCAGCGGGTCTGTTTGCTTGTTGGTGGCAGCGGGTCTATATGCTTGTTGGCGGCAGCGGGTCTGTATGCTTGTTGGCGGCAGTGGGTCTATATGCTTGTTGGTGGCAGTGAGCCTATATGCTTGTTGGTGGCAGTGAGCCTATATGCTTGTTGGTGGCAGTGAGCCTATATGCTTGTTGGTGGCAGTGAGCCTATATGCTTGTTGGCGGCAGTGAGCCTATATGCTTGTTGGTGGCAGCGGGTCTATATGCTTGTTGGCGGCAGTGGGTCTATATGCTTGTTGGTGGCAGTGGGTCTATATGCTTGTTGGCGGCAGCGGGTCTGTATGCTTATTGGTGGCAGTGGGTCTATATGCTTGTTGGTGGCAGTGGATCTATATGCTTGTTGGTGGCAGCGGGTCTGTATGCTTGTTGGCGGCAGTGGGTCTATATGCTTGTTGGCGGCAGTGAGCCTATATGCTTGTTGGTGGCAGTGAGTCTGTATGCTTGTTGGTGGCAGTGGGTCTGTATGCTTGTTGGTGGCAGTGGGTCTGTATGCTTGTTGGTGGCAGTGGGTCTGTATGCTTGTTGGTGGCAGTGGGTCTGTATGCTTGTTGGTGGCAGTGGGTCTACATTTTCCAACACAAAAGAGCCCCAGAACCAAACAGGGACTGTACCATTTAAAAACTAGTTACAAATATATCGGTTGTAGCATACTCATTTTCTTGCCAGCTCCTTAATCCAGTCAACAACCCTACTTAATCACCAATTAATTTATTTGCGTGGTAAGATACAATGTTACTATTGTTTGCTTCAATTTAGGGACGATTGCTATTAAATTCTTTTATCCAAAACATTGCTGATTTCAGCAGCTAGTACAAGTAAGACAAATTGAAACAGATGAATTTATCGATCCTAATGACCCTATGTATGCTCGCTGGAAGACTAAAGTTCACCCAGAGACACCAGTCAAGTATCACCCTGACAGTCTGTTGCCTCAACCTGTGAAAGGAAAAACGTTTGAGAGATTGCCTCTCAGGTTGATGTTAGAGGCCGACACCACCTATACATTCTGTACTTGTGGATACAGCAAACAACAGGTTAGTGCTTTCAGTTCTGAAATTACTCCTTTCCTGCACCCCTCTTAATTTTGTAAGCTGCTGTTTATATGGCAGTTTCAACATCTGTTTCCCCCCCCCCCCCTCAGTTGCTCTCTCTCTCTCTCTCTCTCTCTCTCTCTCTCTCTCTCTAATTACAGAAGTAACATAGAAATAAGAAAGAGAATACCATTGGTTAAGAATATTTCACAGTAAAATTCCTAATATCTTGAGAGATCAGCGTTCAGCGTGAGAACTATCAAATGTGTGTGTGTGTATGTATGTGTTATACACACACAGGCACACACACTCAACCCTACTTTTTGACTAGAGATGTGGATAAAATATACACAAGAATATATTGTAGTGCAATGGAACAACAAAAATCAAATAAGAGGTTGTGGAATGACTGAGAATAACAGAGAGTTGTTGAAAACAAACAAAAACAAGATAATTTCAGCCACATTAAAAGACAATTTAAAAAAAAAAACTGTCATGAAGTTGGAGGCATGCAAGTGGGAGATAGATCTTAATACTATTAGGAGATTATCATCAAAATATGAATAATTTCTATATGAATTAACAGCATTCTCACAGAGAATGCAACCAGGGAAATAGATATTGAGCACTGGAGCCAACCTTCACTGTGGAGATGGCACCTGGCAATTGGATCTTAATAGTTCAGACTGCTTGTAGGTGAATCAGTAGCTGCAAATCAGATTATAACCAGCATATTCATACCAACACTGTGCTCCCAGTACCAGACTAGGACATTATCAAAGTCTAATCAATGTAAAATCAACACCTGTGAAATGAGATCCCCGAGAAAAGCCGCCAACTTAACCATCCAAGACAAAGTTAGAAATGATATCAGACAGACTGTGAGAATAATACCATGCAGCAAAGTCATTGAGAAACAGAAGATCAAATGGTTTGGTCATCTTGTAAGAATGCAGCCAGAACAACTACCAGTGCAGTCGCTACACATAAATAGATTTAAACTGAAGGCAAGTGGTCGCCCTAGGAGAAGATGGATTGATGACATTAAAGAGTTTCTACATCGACATGGAATGACAATAGCCATTACTGCCCATCAGGCAGTGGATTGCAAACTGGTCCTCCCCATGGGACGCTTTGCAGCAGAAGTGGAAATTGATGATGAGTAGCTGTTTGAATTTCCTTCCTCACTGTTTTTCTAATTACACATTTTGAATTGTATTTCAGCCATTCTGTGATGCTTCGCACAAGTCACCCCACTTTATGTCCACACGTCCCCACCACCTCAAGTATCGACCTATAACTTTCACAGTGAAGGAGACAAAGGAGTACTGGCTGTGCATGTGTAAGCAGTCAGACAACCGTCCATTTTGTGACGGTTCTCACAAAAAAATTGAGGATCCCTCCGCACCAAAAGATAAATAATTATTCATTTGTTAAGTTTGCTTCATCTTCCATAGTTCTGTAGTCTTTTTTTTTTTTTTTTTTTTTTTGGTTTGTGTATACTGGTATTTCAGAACAGTGTGAATTAGGTGAAAACAGTTTAAAGTTACATTAGATGCATTATTTGGGATGACTAAATACAACCAACATCAGTTAGCCCTTGCCTTTAATCTGTTTGTGAATGCTTTGCCTCCAGTAGCCTGTCTAAAAAAGAAAATGCCCTACAAGATCTTGGAGAATTAGTAAACACACCAACTGCAAAGCCTGTGGCCTCAGAGATGTTTTACAGAAGAATGTGTAACAATTCTTGGACAGGCAAAATGGGTAATTAAAATGTTTTGAAATAGGTTAACACATAAAGTCAAATTATCAAAACATAGAGAGAAAACAGAAAGAAAAGAAAAAACAAGAAAGGTGCATTCATTATTCTTGGGTATTTGCAAAGGAAAATACATTTATAAATGTTATTGTCGAACCTTCATTGTATGTATAAGTTAAATCCCAGTATGACTATCTTTTCTTCTGTATTTGCTTTTAACAGTATTTTATTTCCTTCTTTCAGGATATTATGGTTTCCCTTTTTTTTTTTTTTAAACGGAGCCTCTCTTGTACTTTTTATTTTACAACAGCACCACATATTGAGAGCCTCATAATGTTTCTAATTTAGAACTGACTGTTTGGCGATAGTAGTAAGTTAGCCATGCCAGAAATGTTCTAGACAATGGTTGGTTGTATAATAGTAAAACTGATTCTGTCGAAATAAAAAATAATGATATGATGAACTGCTGGCTTGAAAGAGTGAGAAATGTTTTGAAAATATTTGTAAGGTGTGTTTCAAATAAAAGAACATTTAAAATATGTAACGAAAAGTGTTCAGACACGATTGTTTTTGTATGTTTATTTACAGCAGATTTTCACCCAAAAATAATTTCATCCATATATATCATCATGCTTAAAATTTTCACAAAGTACACTGAATATACTTTAACTGCAATTACTGCATGTATCTACTGCAGGGCTGAGGTCTTTGAGCCTGACGATTTAGGGCAGCATGGCTTGTGCTAGCGCCACGGACTGTCCACGTTAGGATTTTATTTTTGCTCCTGGCAGATTTAAAAAAGAATACACAGCCTTACCCTTACCCAAGACTCGAACCTGGGCCTCCCGCATGAGAGCCGAACATTCTTCACTAAATACATTCTCAGTCTATACCATTACAAGTTTCATACATAAACATATATGACTTAGAAATTCAACAAAGGAAAGACGCAGAAATCTTTTTTCTTCATTTTTTTCAGATTTCTACTTACAAAGTGTAGTGAAACTTTACAAACACCCTGTATATGAAGATGACTTTTAAGATTTTTTTCTTTACTACCTGTATTTATCACCTGGGAGGGGGGGGGGGGGTTGTGTTAGCCTGAGGGTTTGAAGTTGCAGGGCTAGTACAGTCAAGGCAAAGTGTGCAGGTTAGGTTTTTTTTTAAATATTTTTGCTGCCCTCAAAAATCTCCATCCCTTACTGAAGACTGAAAACAGGTCTCCTTATAAGAGCCCAATGCTCTAACCATTCAGCTATTAACTTCTCAAAAATTCTGGATGATAAATACACTTTTATTGAAAATTAACACTGTTTACATGTATATGAAATCCTTACAGAATAACATTTCTAATTACAGGGCCAACAATATAAATAATGACAGTAAGTTTATGCTTTCTGTACTGCTTGAGAATTTTGACCCTTTTTGAAGCAAGACATGGCTTCAAATGAAAACCTTAAAGGGTTTTATTTTCTTACTCTGAGGGTGTATCTGACCTGCTCATGAACAGTTCAGAGGATTCGCGCCATTTTCAAACTTCCTTTTCCACTGATACATGTCCTGGACAAACAGGCATATACAACTATACTCAATAAATGTATAGTTTTTAACTCCTTTAATGATCAAAAAACGGATAAAAGAATACTGCTCCTCTTTGGTGCCTGTCAAAAGTGGGGTGACCATCTTTAAACTGTCAGTATGACATCTCTGTGTTTGTCTGCACCGTGATGTCACATGCTCTTGACACCCTTAACAACAATACTGACAGGTTACAAGACAGTGGCATGGATACTATAACTTCTATCACACTGTTACGGTTTTCATTTGAAGCCCCCCTTGTATGTTCACTTAGAACATGGTAGCATGCAAGGCCTCACTCCGAACAGTCTAAATATACAGTGGTGGCCAAAAGTTTAAGAACGCATAGTAAATAACTGGTGTTTACATACTATTGATGAATATTGCATCAACTGCCACTTTAGGGCAGAATGATGACTGCAAAGATTGGCTTTAGTGGGCCCTAAATTAGCAGTGGGTGACATACTCAGTAACAGTAAATAAAAGGACCCTTTTCCATGCCTTCAGGTGTATTGGGCATATAGGGCTAGACCTATATTTTATAGATTGATCGGCTCTTGGTGAGTGATGTGGTCAGCATCACGCCGGTCACCTTTACTCCCCAGGACTATACTGGTACCCACTCAAGGCTGGGTTTACCTGGAAGTTAAAGTCACTTTAGAAAAAAAAAAAAGTCAGGCTCCACTAGGACCCGAACACAACCGTCTGACCTACAGGCGAGCATCTAGCCACTACACCATGGCAGCTCTCCTGTAACAGTAAGGAAAACTCAATTATTTACTAGGTAGTCTTCAACTTTTGGGCACCAATGTATTGTTTATCCCATATCAACAGTGTCCATTAGATTAACATATTAAGAGTATTCTAAACAATCTACTATCCACCACAAATCAGTTGCTAGACATTAATTCTATGGTCTTTTAGCACAGCTAAACTTGAGCAATTCTCTCCATGCATTTGGTGGCATCTCTCAGTTTTCCCACAAGGTCCTGGGGAATTTTAAGGATAACAATTAAACATTAAACATTTTAACCACAAAACTTCACTATAGATCACAAAACTTCACTACAGATTACTGCACAATTCAAACTGCATCCTTACAAATGCAGATAAACCTTGACTTTAATATCTCAGTCATATCTAATTTTCAGCAATTTATAATGTCATCAGGAGTCAGAATGGCTAGCTTGCTTTCAGACCAGTCTGAAAGTCACAAGTTCAGATTCCAATCAAATTATATTTTTAAACTGGCTTGGGCTCTGTGGTTGACCCAGCCTAAAAATTAGTATGGGAAAATTTTATGTAAAGTAAAATTGGCCGACATGCGATACTGAAAACATCACTTATCATACAACCAGACTACGACTTGCACCATTAGTACTGGAACTCTGCGCTTGCTGCTGAGGATGGGAACGGAGCGCATATGGGAATGCCCTGAGTGCTGTGATGTCAATTCTTGACTCAACTCAACTCATCAAGCATGTAAAAGATATGGGACACACCCTATGCCCATTGTGCCTCAAGAATGAAAGCAGGTCCTTTAAAAATATCTCACCTAAACATGAAGCCCTGAACAGAAAAACAAAATCAAAATTATCATTTTTCCTTTCAATTGTCTTTTAAATCTTTAACTCTCTGAGTACAAGCCAGTGCAGCACAAGTTTATTGGTTACATAGTACAGTACGGTTAGGTTCATTATCCTCTTCTATTCCGAGCATCTGATATATTATTTTATTCAGCCTGTTACCTGAGGTCTTCTAACCCATGCAGGCATTATTTTAACTTAAGTCCCGAGGTTAATATTCTACAAAACCATGACTTTGTGGTAGAACATGCTGAAGCAACAACTGCCTGGGACTCAAAAAAATCAATACATTTTGCTGTATGCTGTGACACTCTGTTATGTTTACATGGCTCCTACAAGAGGGCAAGGCTGGTAACAGAGAATAAGCCATTTGCCTTAAATAGGATCTGTTTACAGGAAAGAGCTGAGTATTAGGACACCGGGCTGCAGGAGACCTAGGTTTGAATCCTCAGTAGGGAGACGGATGTGCTTTTTTTCCCCTGTTAGGGACAAAATAGAAACATCCTAACCCACATAGTCCATGGCAAAAGCAACTAGCTGAACAGCCCTAAATCCTCAAATCCTCAGGCTCAATAACCCTTCCCACCCCCTTCATCTTACACCTCTCTAAAAGTGGTACTATAGATAGTAAAGACAGTTTTTTCCTAGAGAAACCAATTAAAATGAAGAGTGGCTTAGAGGTCTGCTTTTGACCACAGCAGACCTGGATTCATTTACATTCACCCTCCATCTGCTGTTATCAGGGTATCCTAGTACTTAAAATATTGTCTTCCTTCAGACTTAAACATATCTTGCTTGGTTTACAGCTAGGCCCCATAACCAACACAGGACTCTGGTGATCTATGGATGGAGAGTGGAGCACTGCAATGAAAGTGATCCTTCACCAAAATTAAAGACAGCAAAACTCACATAAATACACACTCAAATCAGACACCCTGGCCTCTGGGCAAGGAAAGTACATTAGTTCTAATGCACACCACTCAAGACAATAACAAAAAAAAAGATGGCAAAGAGCTAGATTTAAAATATATCTATTTTGTTTGACTTTAGGTTGTGGAAAGGCATGACTATCCATGCCAGTTAGCATGATAATGATTTTATTTGAAAGAATGAATACATGCCTGCAGTTGTTCTACAGTACATGAAAACTGAAAATCCTTCAGCTCATGCTCTCCTGGTATCTGAAATAATTAAATTACGTCAATTATTGTTCATCAAATACAAGCCTTTCAAACAAGATTACAAAAGTTGCTTTCTGAATATGCACCTATTTTGTTTTAAAGTTACGTATCTAGTGTGACTTTAAAAAATTATTATTCCTATTTTTTTTTTTTTCAAAACACATCTACAATAAACCCAAACAAGAACATTTTCAAGACACATGGAAGTATCACAGCATAGTGCATAAGATGCACAGGATTCTTCAGTAATCTTGTCACATTATTATAATCTGTTATACAAATTTTTTTTTTTTTTTGGGGGGGGGAGGGGGGGGATAGGGTAGCCAGCCTAACATCCCACCATATTCATAGTCACCTTTTACAACTTTACAACAATGTGTACAATACTTTGCCTCCTGTGAAGACCCCGGTAATACACCAGCAAGATGACTATAATGTAAACCTGTGGTTCCCAATTAGTTCAGATCTGCAGACCACTCTGATGCTCAAAAGTCTGCAACAGACCCTATACTTTTTAATACTCTTACTAAAGAACTGTAGTGAATCATGGAATGTGAATGCATAAATTAGAAAACACTTGGAAGTGACAAAGATGTGGTTTTTAAGACAAATGTTAAGAATCCTTTGGACTGCCAGAGTAACTAATGACTGCTTGTAGAAAGCTTATGAAAGCAGAACAATATATATACAGCTATAAGGAAAAGACAAGCACTGTTCTTTGGTCATGTGATGAGGGGGTTGGGGGAGGCTTTGAAGAATATTGTGACAACTGGGAAGATCAACAGTAGAAGGAGGAGAGGCAGAATGAGAAAGATGACGGATGGATTGCAATGGTGGTACAGAGGGGTATCATCGGTGGAACTAATCCACCACACGCAAAAGACTGAGAGATGTAAGTCAGCAGGGCATGTGATGATGAGGATTGCTAAAGAACTTATTATAATTTATAAATATTAGAGTCCAAAAAGAAGATTGCTTGTTTTTCTTTTTAGCATTCACCGACTGTAAACTCCAGTGGTTAAAAAAAGGATAAAGTCGGGAGATGTGAACCAGTGTCATTGCACACGGTTATAAACCATAAGTGCTCTGCCACCAGTACGGACAGCTGATAAGAAACTGTCCGCTTATGTCGCCGTCCGCACGCAACTCCGTAGCTACAGCGATGTTCCTCCATTTACCCCAGTGTACCAATTGGTACCAATTACCTAGAGGCTGGGTTAACCCCGGAAACTGCCCGGTTTCTAACACTGGCCCTGGGCTGCGAGTCGCAGCTGGATTTAGAAGCGAGCCTCCTATCGACTGCACTAATGCCTGGTGCAATATCAATCTGACATCCGCGATGGAGATGAAGGAATAATCTATTGACGAACAGAACATGATCTCTAAAGACAGCGACAATTTCAAGAGATTACATGTAGCAACTGCAATAAGTTTAAAAGTTCTTGAGTGTAATAAGAAAGACTGGAATATTCAACCAACTCAGAACACAATACTTGCCTCTGTCTTCAGGGAAATCAAGTACACACCGGAATTTACTTTTTCTACATTGTTATTCTGTAAATATACAATTGTACAGTACATTTAATTAGTTTCATCAATACAAGTTCATCTTATGCCACCAAAATTTACGCTACTATTAACTGCTGAAGCACTGAATGCTCTCAATCACTTAATAACGATCAAAAATATATTTTATTAAGTGCTTAAAATATTTTTTTTTATTTTGTAAACAAGACAATGTGTGTACATAACTTTTTAAAATATAAATCTTTAAATAATAAGGGTCTTTTTACTTTACACCCCCAAATACTATGCCCCTAACTAGTGTGTAAAAAAAAAATTGTGTACCTAAATAATGTATAACTATATGGTCATCAATTTAATTCATGTACTGACACTTTTCCGTGCCATGACAAAAGATTGTGAAGAATCTTCTGTCACTCTTTTTCTATATCTCTATTGCCATAAATCTCCAACTGTCACATGTTCACAACCAATTTATATTAGTACATTAAGTACCATGTCCTTAAAAAGTGTACGTCCAAGTACTTTACAAGTATGTACCGAACTAATATACACCTAATTAGTGTACTAAAAAACGAGGTCAGATACTGAGTACATACCTTGATATAGTAATCTAATCTCCAATCTACATCAACTATATGGGGAAAACTGAAGCCAATTCTGAAAAGAAAAATTAAAATGTTTTAGTTTGCTTTTTTTTATTTACTTTATAACTGCATTTTTTTTTTCTAAACTGTGTACTAAGGGAGTCGCTGGGATGTAGTGGCTAGACGCTCACCTGTGTACTAAGGGAGTCGCTGGGATGTAGTGGCTAGACACTCAACTGTGTACTAAGGGAGTCGCTGTGGTGTAGTGGCTAGATGCTTACCGGTGTACTAAGGGAGTCACTGGGATGTAGTGGCTAGACGCTCACATGTGTACAAAGGGAGTCGCTGTGGTGTAGTGGCTAGACGCTCACCTGTGTACTAAGGGAGTCGCTGGGATGTAGTGGCTAGACACTCAACTGTGTACTAAGGGAGTTGCTGGGATGTAGTGGCTAGACACTCACCTGTGTACAAAGGGAGTCGCTGTGGTGTAGTGGCTAGACGCTCACCTGTGTACTAAGGGAGTCGCTGGGATGTAGTGGCTAGATGCTCACCTGTGAACTAAGGGAGTCGCTGGGATGTAGCGGCTAGACGCTCACCTGTGTACAAAGGGAGTCGCTGTGGTGTAGTGGCTAGATGCTCACCTGTGTACAAAGGGAGTCGCTGTGGTGTAGTGGCTAGACACTCACCTGTGTACAAAGGGAGTCGCTGTGGTGTAGTGGCTAGACGCTCACCTGTGTACTAAGGGAGTCGCTGGGATGTAGTGGCTAGATGCTCACCTGTGTACTAAGGGAGTCGCTGTGGTGTAGTGGCTAGACGCTCACCTCTGTACTAAGGGAGTCGCTGTGGTGTAGTGGCTAGACACTCACCTGTGTACTAAGGGAGTCACTGGGATGTAGTGGCTAGACGCTCACCTCTGTACTAAGGGAGTCGCTGTGGTGTAGTGGCTAGACACTCACCTGTGTACTAAGGGAGTCGCTGTGGTGTAGTGGCTAGACGCTCACCTGTGTACAAAGGGAGTCGCTTTGGTGTAGTCCGAATGTAAGACAGGCCTGCATGCCTAATTTGTAACCCTTTGAAAATAAAGTTCGTTCGTTCGTTCGTTCCTGTGTACTAAGGGAGTCGCTGGGATGTAGTGGCTAGATGCTCACCTGTGTACTAAGGGAGTCGCTGTGGTGTAGTGGCTAGACGCTCACCTCTGTACTAAGGGAGTCGCTGTGGTGTAGTGGCTAGACACTCACCTGTGTACTAAGGGAGTCGCTGTGGTGTAGTGGCTAGACGCTCACCTGTGTACTAAGGGAGTCGCTAGGATGTAGTGGCTAGACGCTCACCTGTGTACTAAGGGAGTCACTGGGATGTAGTGGCTAGACGCTCACCTGTGTACTAAGGGAGTCGCTGTGGTGTAGTGGCTAGACGCTCACCTGTGTACTAAGGGAGTCACTGGGATGTAGTGGCTAGACGCTCACCTCTGTACTAAGGGAGTCGCTGTGGTGTAGTGGCTAGACACTCACCTGTGTACTAAGGGAGTCGCTGTGGTGTAGTGGCTAGACGCTCACCTGTGTACTAAGGGGGTCGCTGGGATGTAGTGGCTAGACGCTCACCGGTGTACTAAGGGAGTCGCTGTGGTGTAGTGGCTAGACGCTCACCTCTGTACTAAGGGAGTCGCTGTGGTGTAGTGGCTAGACACTCAACTGTGTACTAAGGGAGTCGCTGTGGTGTAGTGGCTAGATGCTCACCGGTGTACTAAGGGAGTCACTGGGATGTAGTGGCTAGACGCTCACATGTGTACAAAGGGAGTCGCTGTGGTGTAGTGGCTAGACGCTCACCTGTGTACTAAGGGAGTCGCTGGGATGTAGTGGCTAGACACTCAACTGTGTACTAAGGGAGTTGCTGGGATGTAGTGGCTAGACACTCACCTGTGTACAAAGGGAGTCGCTGTGGTGTAGTGGCTAGACGCTCACCTGTGTACTAAGGGAGTCGCTGGGATGTTGTGGCTAGATGCTCACCTGTGAACTAAGGGAGTCGCTGGGATGTAGCGGCTAGACGCTCACCTGTGTACAAAGGGAGTCGCTGTGGTGTAGTGGCTAGATGCTCACCTGTGTACAAAGGGAGTCGCTGTGGTGTAGTGGCTAGACACTCACCTGTGTACAAAGGGAGTCGCTGTGGTGTAGTGGCTAGACGCTCACCTGTGTACTAAGGGAGTCGCTGGGATGTAGTGGCTAGATGCTCACCTGTGTACTAAGGGAGTCGCTGTGGTGTAGTGGCTAGACGCTCACCTCTGTACTAAGGGAGTCGCTGTGGTGTAGTGGCTAGACACTCACCTGTGTACTAAGGGAGTCACTGGGATGTAGTGGCTAGACGCTCACCTCTGTACTAAGGGAGTCGCTGTGGTGTAGTGGCTAGACACTCACCTGTGTACTAAGGGAGTCGCTGTGGTGTAGTGGCTAGACGCTCACCTGTGTACAAAGGGAGTCGCTTTGGTGTAGTCCGAATGTAAGACAGGCCTGCATGCCTAATTTGTAACCCTTTGAAAATAAAGTTCGTTCGTTCGTTCGTTCCTGTGTAATAAGGGAGTCGCTGGGATGTAGTGGCTAGATGCTCACCTGTGTACTAAGGGAGTCGCTGTGGTGTAGTGGCTAGACGCTCACCTCTGTACTAAGGGAGTCGCTGTGTGTGTAGTGGCTAGACACTCACCTGTGTACTAAGGGAGTCGCTGTGGTGTAGTGGCTAGACGCTCACCTGTGTTACTAAGGGAGTCGCTAGGATGTAGTGGCTAGACGCTCACCTGTGTACTAAGGGAGTCACTGGGATGTAGTGGCTAGACGCTCACCTGTGTACTAAGGGAGTCGCTGTGGTGTAGTGGCTAGACGCTCACCTGTGTACTAAGGGAGTCACTGGGATGTAGTGGCTAGACGCTCACCTCTGTACTAAGGGAGTCGCTGTGGTGTAGTGGCTAGACACTCACCTGTGTACTAAGGGAGTCGCTGTGGTGTAGTGGCTAGACGCTCACCTGTGTACTAAGGGGGTCGCTGGGATGTAGTGGCTAGACGCTCACCGGTGTACTAAGGGAGTCGCTGTGGTGTAGTGGCTAGACGCTCACCTGTGTACTAAGGGAGTCGCTGTGGTGTAGTGGCTAGACACTCAACTGTGTACTAAGGGAGTCGCTGTGGTGTAGTGGCTAGACACTCACCTGTGGATTGGAAGGTCGTGGGTTAGGGTCCTGTCAGAGCCTGACTTTTTTTGTTTTGTTTTTTCCGAAAAACGACAAGGGCTCCCAGGTCAACCAAGCCTTGAGTGGGTACCAGGTACAAGTCCTGGGAAGTAAAGGAGGCTGGCATGATGCTGACATCATCACTCATCGAGTGCCAAATGGTCTATACAATATAGGTCTAGCCCTATGCAGAATATTGTAAATGTTTTTGTAATACACATTATATTTAATATGTAAATACTTCTTGTGCATTTTGTACAAACTTGTAAATATTGGCTAGCAGTTAGAGAGACTGACAGTGTCTGTTAAAATGTAAATAAACTTTTAAAATAAAAAGTGTGGTGTATAATTATGGTAAGCAAATGGTTAAAAAAGATTATGTCTCTGAACTTGGAACATATTCATAAGTGCTCTCTCAGAAGATATTAACCGTATGGAAGCAGTCATCACTGAATATGCACACAAAAAAGAAATAAAATAATGACTATGCTAAAGAGGGAAATCACACAACTGCACCAGTAACATATAAACCAAACCAGCCTGTGCTAGGATAATTTTTCTCAGTATGCACATTAGGGATAAGACATGGGACAAGACTGTAAGTAGGAATGAATCATGTGTGCAATACTATAATACTGGATCAAAGTGTACTTTAATACAACAGAAGCATCACTCCTCAGCTTCAGCTAAGTAATTCAAAATGTCACTGTAAGCAGAAAATGAATTCACAGAACATCAAAGAATCAACTGGTTTGGCAGAAGGTAGAGCATAGTACATGAGAACAGCAGACTACAAGCAGTCCTAGAAAGAGAGAGGTGTAGGAAGGAAGAGACACTACAGAAACACAGTATGACATTAACACAAGCTATGCAACTAGCAAAAGACAGGAAACTAAATATAACTCCTCTCTGTGATGCTTAACAGCATAAGCAGTAAGGACAAAAGAAGAAGGCAATTAGCAGAGAAGGATACATTTACAGTGTTTTAGAAGGCCATTAGCAGAAAGGGTTACATTTACAGTGTTTTAGGGATTTACAAGTACTCTTGGCCTATTTTAAGCAGGAAAGTAAGAATGGGAATGCTGCATAGTACCTGAAATGTTAATATTTTTAGATGCAATTCAAAGACATGGTAGTGTAGTGGCTAGATGTTTACCTGCTGGCCCAGATATCTTGGGTTCAAATCTGCCTTGATTTTGATTGATTTATTTATTTTTAATAAATGAACATGGTTACCATGTCAACCCAGGCTATAATGGGTGCCAGAAAATATACTGGGAAATAAAGTTGTTGTTATTATTCTGACCACATCGCCCACCAAGTGCTAATTAGATATTAAAAATGCGGGTCTATCACAAGATATCCGATATGTTGATGACATGAAAAGGGACCTATAATGCAAAGAGAACATTCTAATCCAAATGTTCAATATTTACATTTATGCAGATACTTACTTCCCAAGGAGAAGCTGGATGTGTGGTTTCTGAGGCTAGACATGGGAGGGAAAAGAAAGGAAATAAAAGAACTGATTTATATAAGCATCATTAAAATGTTAAGCTTGCCTTTCCCCATAAAATGACCACACACAAAAAATGTCTGAATGTAGTATCTCTAATAAACTTGCAGTTCTCATTTGATTCTTCAAGTATAGTCTGTTTTTCCCCCTCTGTTCTGTTCTCAAAATAACTAAAATAATCCTTTAAAAAAATACATATATAAACTTTAGTTCACTGAATTTGTTTCATATTCAACCATATAAGAGAATAACAAACATAGAACTGGTACTATTAGCCGCTGGAGGCCGATGAAAAGGTTCAGTTGAGAATCTGAGCACCCATAGAGGTGTCGGGAGTCCTCTTCTTCTTCACTTCTTCTTTTATTGTTTTACAGGTCAAAGCAGACACAAGATTCTGCTTCTTACTCTTCAAACAAACAGATCCTGCTGTTGAAGATTTCTCAGATGTTATTCTTCCATCTTGTTCAAGATCTACTTCTTGCCTTACGTCCTTCTCCGGGGTGCCATAAAGATAATCCAACTCATTACTCAAGAATAAAAGTTATCAACAGGTTGTCTTACCTACACCAATGACTGAATTTTTTTTTTTTTTTTTTGTGGGTTATTAACTATTTTTCTGATACATGTAAAAATAACTTCTTTTCCTTCTGCCTTTCTAATCTCCAATGGAGCACAGGCCCTCAACCAACTCGTGCCAAGTTTTAATATCTTTCGCTATCACATGCAGCTCTCCCCATGTCCCTCCATCTTTTTAACTTTACTCTCTAGCTCCCTTCTCCATGTGTTTTTTTTTTTCTGTGGGTCTTTCTATACTTCTATGCCCCTCTAGGTTCCAGTGTAAAAACATTCCAGTTATACTGTTCTCAGGTTTTCTCAATGTGTGTTCTATCCAAAGCCAGCATCTTATCTTCAGCTCTTGGTCCACTGGAACTTCTTTAATTCTCTCCCAAAGCTCTACATTAGTGATTCTATCATGCCATGAAATTCCCTCTATTTTGCGCAGGCACCAGCACATGTTCACCTGCTGTAAACTGCAGAAAGTTTTAGTTGGTCATCCACTTCTGGAGTTGAGTCTTGTTCAAGAACCTGAGTTTTGTGTGCACATTCATTTTACAGATCTGGCTTCATTTTACAGATCTGGCTTAATCTTATGCAGTCTGCTGGTTTCTAGCCCCTCAAGCACATGCACTCTAACTTTAAAGGAAACATCTATAAATAGTTAACTCTTACAAGAGGCTTGTTAGGTGGCAGTGGGTCTATTCTTTTTGTTCCCGGCAATGGAGCCCTGAAACCCACATGGGGAGTACAAATAATAAAAATGGTTCTGATCTAAAAGGTATAGTTTCTACAGACTCCAATAATTTACTGCTGTATTAACAGTAATGTTAGTGTATGAGTGGCTCTGTAGCTTAGAGGTTAGTGAAATCATTTCACAATGCAATCTTTAATGTTTGCCAAGGTTCGATAAACATGGTGGATGGTTTAGAAAAAGACTGTTCTCATGGCTGTCGCTCATTGGTAGAGAGTCACACCGGGGAAGAGATTCTCATCACATCATCATCTCATAACATGCCCATAGTTAGCAGTGGATACACTGCAACCAACCTGCTGTAATCATATAAATAATTAAAGACATGTACTTTCACATAGATATGAAATGCCAAGAACATCTCATGCAGGTCAGATTTTATGTCGTTTAGGCCCTTGCTGTCTTGCCTTTTCTCAATCCAGAACCCAGAAAGTACTCACTTTTGCAACCTGCTAGCCAGACAATGACAGTCAATTTCCCAGAGGCTCAGCTTAAAAGACTATATCAGACAGGATAACTTTTCTTTTTTTAAACACATACATGCAAACTTTGATGCCAACTGCCGCAGCAGGTTGGATTCTCTTCATTAGGCTACTAGTTTTACAACTTACTTACTAAAAATATTTTGCTGAATTCATTTATTTTATCTGCTGTGTACTTGCATTCTTCTAACAGTGAACTGCAATGGAAGAAAAAAAATTAACCTATCATTTTTGCCATACATGAGTGTAAAATTATGCAAATGCAGTGAACAGTAAAGTTAAAGGAACTTCCATTTCTGCTCCTGTATTGGGATATATAATGTTAGGTCTCTGCATATATGTGGGTCAATGAATAAGGTGATGTGACCAGTTGCCTTCTTCATCTCCTTTTCTTTGTAGTTATTTTCCACACAATGTTGCACATTATAAAGTACTCATGGTCATACCGCTGCAGAAAAACATCCTTCCACTATCTGGATTAAATTCAGATGACCACATTTTAATTGATATTTTATGATGCAGTTGCTATCAAGCTTGCCTTCCAGCCTAGGGTTCATGAGTTCAAATACTTTTAGAAGGAAACAGAAAGGTGGAGACAGGAAAGCTGCATGTAGAGTGGCAAGCATCACTTCAGAGGTTCTGGGTAGTTAGCAACCTTTGGATATTTTTTCTAGGTGATGCCTGTGGGTTGGGAAAGGAACAGGCAGATAGACTGGCTAGTTCTGAACCACCTGGTAGTACACTGATGCATGACAAGCTTGATGTTGTAAGGAAGCAAGTGAACAGTGGGAAGACACAAAAAGATCATCAGTTTCGGGAAAATGGCGGAGCAAGTAGTGACCAAGGAATTTGCCTGATGCTCAACACTCAAGGGACAAGCGAGACAGATATACAACACTCATCGGAAATATCCTTGTACCATGATGTCGATTCTTAATTTACCATTCATTTTAGCCTAGACTGCAAGGCAGACCAGACCTTAAATGGATTCAAAGAAATGGTCAATAGAGTAATGGTGGATGACATAAGTTAGACCATCCCATTCAATTTCCATTTTAGTTAGTTTACACCATTTTGTCATCTCAGATGAAAGAATCCTACTGTTATAGGGAGGCATGGGCAGAGCTTTTTTTTCCAGATAAAAAAGGTGGCGATACTCACACAAAAGGGTCTTTAAAAAGGTGCCAGTCTTCCCTAAAAAGTGTCTGGCTATCCTCCGAATAACGATCCCAAATTATCGAGGCCGAAAATATACCCTAACAGGGCCTCATTCACGTGTCAATTGCGGACTTCCGGCGACTCAAATTGCGCACTTTCGGCGACTTCAGCCACCGCCGAGAGTGTGCCCCACGCGGCGTGGATTGGGGCTAAACTAGATGGCTGGGACTCACGAGCAGCAGCTAAGCATCTCCTGCAGTTTCCTTTATTTTATTTGTTCGTGAGTCCCAGCCATCTAGTTTAGCCCCAAACTACGCCGCATGAGGGGCGTGGGAGATACTCTCGGCGGTATAGTTCCCGGAAGTCCGCAATTGACATGTGACTGAGGCCCTGTTAGGGTATATTTTCGGCCTCGATAATTTGGGACCGGAGGATAGCCAAGTGTCTATTATAGTAGTACTGAAAAAATGATGTCTGAAAAAAAAAAAAGTTAGGGTACTGCATACCTTTACATACTGCCTGAAAAAAAAAGTCCTGGGTATATGAATCACAGTTGATGGTGAGTATGACTAGCAATAAAAACTCATGTTAAGAAGAATTATCCACAATAAATATATGAGAAGTTAGTATCATTGTTACCATCATTTGTGTATGACATATTTCTTCTCAGACGCTCAGTTCTAAACCTGTCTGCAATCCTTTTCTCCATTGTCCCTACTCCCTTCTTAATTGTCCCCCACTGTGCAACGTAATCCATGACATCCAGTTCCAACGAATGCAAATCAATACCTATATCATTCAAATCCCACTTGCAAGTGATCTGTGAAAAACATAAGGCTAGCACCCCTATGCCTAATACATCTCAAAATGTAGGAAATGGTCTATTACTGTTTCAGAATGCAGGTGCACAAACCAAGCTCTGTATGCCACTGTACATAGTAATCTATTAGTTTTGTAAAGATGTTACTTTTAAAGCTAAACTCAACTTACCTAATGTTTTGGTCACTACTATCATGTTTGGCTGCCTCAATAATCAAGGTAACAAGACCACTGAAGGCTGCTTTCAGAACTGCCTTATTTGTATCTTTAAATGCAGGATTCTCTGTTAGAAGAAATGTTTATACGAAATATTTGACCACAAGTAAAATAAAACAAAAATGATTTGAAAACACACACAAAATATTGTAATGATGTTTGTACCAATGCTGGTGTTTATGATCCCAGGAGCAGTTCAGTGTGATAAACAAATGACTCGAAATTATTGACACCCATAGATTGTCAAAGAAATGAATAGAGACAGAAGAAGCTAGACAACAAAAAAGCCTAAATTTTCCTTTCTATCTCTTTTGAGTCCCAAGGAACGCATCATACAGCTCTCCTCCAAACTTCTACCCCGGCCAAGCAAATACCTAACAGGGCCTCAGTCATGTGTAAAATGCAGACTTCCTTCGATGAACACATCGCGGCAAAACTAGGATTACTTGACAATTTCAAGAGACACAACACTGCAGGCGTTAGTAACAGACAATAATAGTGACCGCTGATAATTTCGAGCATTTCTGCAGGCGATACTAGCAAACGATACTAGCGACCATTTCGAGATACGCAACATTACAGACGATAATATGGAGATGGCGAGGAGACCACGCACACCGATGCATATTAGCGATAATATTCTTCCAATTAAACTCACCGCTGAGCGTATCCCCTGCACCGCCTGGGACTCACGAGCAAATAAACTGGAGAAAGTTGCAGGAGATGCGGTAAATGCTGCTCGTGAGTCCCAGCCCCCCATCCGCAAGTAGCGGCGCTGGGTATATTGTTGGCGGTGCGGCATAGTCACAGAAACAGGTCCGCCATTAACATATCGCTGAGACTCTATTGGAGCATTTGTTTAGTTATTCGGATCCGATCCTAGTTTTGCCGCGATTTGTTCCTCGGCAGGAAGTCTGACATGTCCGCAATTTTCATAGGACTGAGGCCCTGTTAGGGTGTTTGTTTGGCCGCCATAATGTTGGGGTAGAAGTTCAGAGGAGAGCCCATCATATGTTCACAGGTTCCTACCTAGAAGCTCAAAGAACGCATGATGTGCCTCAATTTTACTTCTCTCTTGACTACCCTTGAGCCTCTGATGCTAAACCCTCTGGGAGACTGACAACTACTGTTTACTATGTCTTACAGATCTCAACATGATACACTGGGACGGTATGGCCGTTGCCGATGTCCTAGTGATTAACTTTTCTAATGGCTAATGTAGGGACTACAGTTTCGACAATTTGCGGTCTTTTCGGCAATTTCCGTTACCCGGAAACCGTTCAGAACTTGTTCGGGAAATTTCGGCTGGTTTCCGTATGGGTCCAAATCTCTCATGAAATTTTGCCATTGTTGGGAATTTGGACCAGCTATAAATAGCTGAAAACAGCGTGGGGGAACCCGATTAACAGCGCATGTCTACGGCAGCCAGACGTCCTCTGTTTTTCTGTTAGTCATCAGTTTGATTGAAAATAGCGGTAAATTCGAGGTTGGCTTTAGGCTTTAACTGTTACTCGTCCTGGTATTGCTAGGTATATTTGAATTCTCCGTCCAATTTTACATTTGTGTATAAAAATTTCTTTCTGGACGGTGGCTAGGTAGATGTACAGTGACATTTTTCAGGCAATCGCTGGCTCAGCCAGTGGCTGTGTCTCATTGCCTGCCATCTTGTCCAATGACAGTCCAATGTAAACAAAGCCGATACAGAACTGCGCAGTAGGTTGCGCAGTAAAAAACTTCTTGTTTCTGGGTCACAAGTTTTAGCGGCTGTTTCTTACATCTCATCTCCACAAAATCTACATATCTCAGCTCAGAAATGACATACAAGCCTAAATGAGGTACCATTGGAAAGAAATTGTTTACAGCTATCTAACTGTGCTGGTTTTATTGGTGTAGAGGGCATTTTAAAAATTTTACTGAAGTAGCTAGCTAATGGTTGAACTGGGTGTCTAGGATTTGCTATCCAGGGTGAGCCTCTCAAGAGTGATAAAGCCTTCAGGTAGCATCCTGGAAGATAAAAACGGAAAGGATGAATTTTGAGATGTGGATGAACAAAGAACAACATATCTCAGCTGGTATCATAATTTTACAGAAAGCTGCGATAATATTGGAAAGCCTAGGACATCGGTGATAAAAGGGGCGGTAACATACTACAACAACAACAAAGCCGTTTCGTTGGACATTTTTTTTTTTTGGTTACCTTCAACAATATTTCGCTGATCTTCATTTAACACTCCTTGACATGCACAAGTCACTAACTTGGCGAATATCTTGTCTGGTATATGAGCTGCGTCACCAGCTAACGCAATATTTTCTAACACTTGAGGTCCGAATTCCATTCTCAAGTTAGCGACAACAAAACACTGGAGTCTTATGACTAGGAGAAAACAATCAAGCAGACCATTAGGGGGAAGTCACCCTTAAAACCTGAAACACAATTATAAGGGAGACAACATTGAGAAAATAAAACCAAAACACCCCCCCCCCCCCCACATTCCCCACCCCTTTTTTGCTTTTTTTTTTTCTATGTTGGCGGTTGGCGCACTGTGATGAGATTTATAAATAGGCTGCGATATCAGCGCCTTTCGACCAAACACATCCGATCTCAGCAACCCCTCTCCCAATGGTTCGCTTCTTACGATAGGTCGACTGACTGACTTTCTACCCCACCAAACATCACACATTGATGTTGATTTTTATCAATTCCTTACGTCCTTTTTAGGGCGTAATTTTTTGTTATTTGAAGCCCCACTCGGGTGTTTATCGCTTGTGTGATGTCCTAGTAAGGTAGAAAGTCAGACATCACACAAGCGGTAAACACCCGATGACACGATGTGCCAACATGTGGGTGAGGATCACCGTGGAGAAGTCCCAGATACCGCGTTCAGCCTTTAGGCCATATTTATGGCCAGACTATATTGCGACCCCTGGCAAAAGCCACGAAAAATGTTCATCCTAAAAAGGACGAGAAGTATAGAATAATATTTACGATAGGCTTATCAGGCCTATTCTTAGTATCCTGATTTATGGCAGTCAAGCTTGGTCAACTTATTCGGACTAGAAGAAATGAAGTATAATAATATAATTACGTCCTTTGTATGATGCAATTGTTCGTTTTTTGAAGCCCCACTCTGGCTCTTGCCAGGAGCCGCAATATAGCCCGGCCATAAATATGGTATAATGGCTGAACGCGGTTTCTGGGACCTCTCTACGGGTGATCCTCATCCACATGGTGGCACTTTGTTTCATCTGGTGTTTATCGCTTGTGTGATGTCCTGGTGAAGTAAAAGAAGATAGACAGCGATGAAGTATAACCTCGCACCAATATGGACGCATACTTTTTTTTTAAATTGATTTGTTTGTAATGTTTAAAGCTCCACCCCTGCTTTTGTTGGGGGAAAAGGGGGGGGGGGGAGCTAATATAACAACAATGTTTAACGGAGTTTCTGTGGCTTGAGCCTGGGCGATTCTCATCCGAAAGGTGGCACTTTGTGTCACCGGGTGTTCATCGCTCGTTGTGCCGTCCTGGTGGTGGTCAATATCACTCACTCACACGCCATTTTGGGGTGACAGGTTCGATTCCCGTCACGATAACTGTAGCTTTTCTTCTTCTTCTTCTTCGCGTTCACCAGCTGTACACTCTGGCCAACAATTTTGGTTGTTCGTCCACTTCTGGACTGCAGTCCTGCTTCAGAACCCGAGTGTTGCCTGTGCATCAGTTTTACATATTTGATTCACTTGAATGTAGACTGCTGGTTCCTTGCCTTTCAGGCAGACGCACTCCAACTTTAAAGGAACTATAGCTTTTGATTTATATGTTGCCTAGTGTGTCCTATCGTTCTAATTCTTTCTATGAGTGCCGATCAATACATTGTCATTTCGTTTATTACATATAATATTTATACGGCCTCAAGATTCCCCCTCTGTTAATTTATGTGAATTATGCCTTACAAGCTGAATGCAGTGGATCATATTTGAATAATTAGTATCATTATAGAAAGCAATATCAAACTATTGAACGTAAATGTGCCTGGAAAAAATTGCCAAAAAATGATGGAGTTGGTTCTGCAATGTCCTGCAAAGGATACGCAACTAACTCTAACTAGTATTTTTTTAGATGATATTTCTTGCACGCCGGTAAATAATTGCGAAGTTACAAAGGTTACGTAGGGCAGGTCATCATTAATCCTTGAGCGCACAGGACTACGCGTCGCACTAGACTGTTGTGGCCGATATACGTATCCCAGTTATGTCTTCTTTGGAGGTTTAACTGAGTTTCTGTGATTAGCCCCATTGTTTTGCCATCCAGAACAAGACAGTAGTCAAAACTTGATGTAACAACCGTTAAAATGTCGGGGGGGAGAGAGAACCGATGTTTGCAACAGACCACGTGCACCTCATCTGCTTGAATTAACAAACATAATGATGTCGTTGACAGTTAATTTATGGACTAACAGTTAGACATTCGTGTCCTTTTTCTTGCTGTATTTGTCTTTGGTGATTCTAGAACCACGTTATGTTAGCATGAGAAATCTCGGTCTTAGCAGGAGCTCAAATACTCTCGCATACTTCTATCAAACTTTTTTAAAATGCATTTCCTCTTTTTAAATATCGTAATGCAGCTAGCAAAAAGTAGCTGGCCCTATATGTTTGAAATATTTGTACTAAGTTAAGTGCCCCCTCAAGCGTAAGCAATTTGTAATTTATCAACTGAGGTAGGGAGAATCTTGGCTTTTGTTGATCATGTCTTTTTCTACACACAGGGAAGAAATAGAATAGAAATATCTAGAAAAATGAAGTTCACTGTAGATAAGATAGGTGAGTGAGTTGAGGAAACAGGCTCGGTCAGCAACGCAAATAAGGCAGTAGCATTGTGGTGTTATACGTCCAGTAGTTTGCCATTTCTTACTGGACGGTCGGCTTTCTTGATATTACTGTCGAAACCAACGCAAGGCGCATGGCCCGCAGCTGGGATCGAACCCGGTATCCCGGCATTACGAAGCGTTCGCATCGACCTAGCCACAGAGCCGACCGAAGAGAGATAACTCACTAAAATATCTATTAATTCGTCGTCCCATTGTGGGACGCAGTTTTATGTTATTTTGAAGCCCCACCCTGGCTGTTGTCGGTGGCCTTAATATAACATAACAGTTGAAGGAGGTTGTCCGGGACCTCACAACGAGTGATCCTCATCCGCATGGTGGCACTTTGTGTCACCGGGTGTTTATCGCGCTGTGTGATGTCCTGATGGGGTAAATCTTACTTACTTACTACTAAAATATCTGGAATACAATTGTGACAGGAGCCTCTCTTTCAAATACCACGAGGAAGGGGTAGTTTTAAAGATAAGTAAATGGCTCAGTACTTTGAAGGTGATGACATTAGCGGACATAGGACTAGAAAATGCTCTATACACTCTACCAGCAACTTATTATTTCGGCGATGGAAGTATAATCTAAGACTGCTAACATTATCTTATACCCAAACAGAGAAGCATGAAGCAATGCAACTCTTATGGGTGGCGAACCATAGGTTGAGAACCATTGCTTTAGGGGATAGTAAGAGACAACCGCTGAAAAGAGATGGCTATTGGACGGCACAGGCAGAAGTCACGATCATAACTTTTAATCAGGTTTAGTTGGTACAAATAGCATGTCGACTGTTTGTTGACTACTAAAAAAGAGGACGGAGCACTTGTGGGAATGTCCCGAGTGAGTGATGTCAATTCTTGATTCATTCATTAAATGTATCAACTGTATCCATCACACCCATCGCTATTTGGTAGCCTTCAAGTAGCACGGTGGGGGACTAGCAAGCATGGCTAACGAGACGTACAGAAAAAATATCAATTACGTGACAGCGTGATTCTCGTGTAACATCAGCCACCCACATTGGCGTGATTCTCAATACGCCCACATGAGCGTGAGTCTCGAGAACGCCAACATGAGCATGCCTCTCGTGTAACATCAGCCGCCCACATGAGTTTGGCAAGGATATGTTGGGGCTACGTAGACAGTCCTAGCCAGTGAGCTGTAGCCAGAGAGCTAAAGCACTGGGGAAGTGCAGGTGTAGTACACACCCATCACGAGAGTACTGTGAGTCAGTAAAAGTCCGAGGCAGAGAGAGAGAGAGAGAGAGAGAGAGAGAGAGAGAGAGAGAGAGAGAGAGAGAGAGAGAGAGACCAAGTCAGGGTCAGAGTCAATATCTCTCGAGTGAGACAGAGTACTGAAAAACCGACAGACATCAAGGTCTGTGTAAGGGTTTCATGGAGGCAGACAGAGTATCGAGAAACCGTCAGACAGCAAGGTCTGTGTAAGGGTTTCGTGGAGACAGACGGGGTACTTTGCAACTATCAGGCAGCAAGGTCTGAGTAAGAGTTGTGGTTACGGTACGGGACGAAGGTATAGGCCCCCCGGCGAGGTAAGGCCAAGGGGACTGGATGCTCCAGTAGTGACTGTTCTGAGTGACGGCGCTAGGAGACGTAGGATCACCATGGAAACAGAACAGTTAGGATGCCGACGAGAGCTGTGTGCTAGATGGGACTTGTGTTAGAAGTTCTGTCTGTCATCGGAGTCCTTCGACAGGCTGACCTGCTGTGGGCACATGCTGGAGAAAAAGCAAGTGATGTCCGTTGCCAGTCAGTCGTTGTCGTCTTCTGAAGCAATATCAAGGTCAAGTTGATAGGAAAGTTCGTCCTGTTCTGCTGTAAGGCGAGCCCAGAGTTGTGGGACGCTGTAGACCTTGGGAGCTGTAGCGGTAAGGGAGAGGTCGCTACAGGTAGGGAGAGAGAGAGAGAGAGATAGATTGAGAACTATATGGACTATGTTCGAATGTCAATTAGGATCAATCTCTACGTCTCTGCAGTTTTGTCGTTGTGAGGGCTTGTAACCTGTCGAATAAATATACTGTATGACGGAACTACTGCCGTCGAGTCCTACTTCGACAGCGTGGGAGCGAAAGTTATTTCTGTAGACTATTGGGAGTGTGCTGATTAGTGTGTAACTCAGATAGCACACAACAAAGGGGTTAAATGACCACACACAACAAATACGTTTACGTGCATGCCGTTAACACATTACTCGTCGCCATATCCACCTGTAATTTCTTCATAAACCATGTGTAGTTTAGCGAACAGGTGCTGATCATCTTCTGATCTGAACACGGCAGACAAGGAGTTACATGGAGCATATAATCCAACGCTCTGAATGGTTTTAAGGACACAACTAAAACATATATCGCTATATACCAGGGACATTCAAATGGCGGCCTGCGAAGGCCTAGAAAGTGACCCGCGGATAATCGTCAGGTTTATTGTATTTGTGATATTTCTATGCTAAGAAACTGGTCTCTGGTTCTTGGCGATCCCCATTTCCAAAATTTTGGCTCCTGAATATACTTAGAGTTGAATAGCCGTGCCCTATACAGACTGGCAAAGCAACGTTAGAGACTTTAGTAGAAATTCGAACCGTGGGAGAAAGGGCTGGGTCGACCTGGAAGCAGTGGCGTAGCAAGGTCAGGTGGTGCCCGGTGCCGGAACATTTTCGATTTCCCCACATATATTTTTATATAAATTGTGAAATAAATTATTGTCAGTTTGTCACTCACCTCGGTGAGGATACCCGCTGCGGCCTGTGTCCCTGCACGCCCCTTCCTACGTCACTGCCTGGGAGCCAAGGTGAATTATCAACAACAAAAACCCGCCTCATCGTCATTTGAACCCTTAATTCGCTTTTGACTTCGCTGACAAAGTTTGCTAATTTTTAAGAGGCCCCATACAGTTATGCACATATGTTGAAAAATGTGCGGTCTTCTGGTACAGTTCAAATTAATATGTGCAGAGTTCCTCATTGCCGTCGTTAATGAAAAATATTTGCCTGTCGTTTCAGGTATGAAGATCCCTGTTAGAAAGCTCTGCTGCTGTCTACTCTCAATACTAATTACATTTGTGCTGCTACTGAATGCTTTTGTATTGAACAAACTGTACAAAGAATCAAGCAGGACTCATGAAGGAGCACACGTGAACGGAATTCGAGTTGGAAAGAATGGTTCAGTAAAGCTACATTTGGCTGGTTTGCTACTGCCTGCTGAAGGACCCTCGGATGACTTCTATAAATTGCCAGTGATTAACGAGCATACGTATGGTTATCTCAACAAGCCCAAGGATGCATGCACGAACAAGAGGCTTGATCTACTGGTGGCTGTTGTATCCTTAACTATCAACTTTGACAGGCGCAGGTTGGCTAGGCAAGCCCAAGAAACTGTACCCTCAGGGAAGATTATATATCTCTTTTTCTTGGGGAAATCACCCTATATGAATGAGCTACAGCACCGTGTAGACGAGGAAGCTAAGAAGTATGGGGATATTGTGCAAGAGGACTTTGTGGATTCAGAGAGGAACCTCAGTCTGAAATCAGTCTCCATTCTGAGATGGGTTACTGATTCTTGCTCCGATGTGAAATTTGTTATAAAGAAGGATGATGATATTCGACTGAATATAGACACAGCACTGAAGTCACTGTCTTTTAAAGAAACTGAATTCAAGCATTTTGTGATGGGAAACAGTAAGTACCTCATAGAAGGTCCGATCAGAGATGAAATATCCAAGTATTATACTTCATTTTCGGAATATGGAGAAGCATTTTTCCCTCTGTTTGTCCATGGTCCAGCATATGGATTTCCTGGAAGGACTGCTGTAATGTTATATCAAATGTCATTAAGGACCAAACTGTTTTGGTTGGAGGATGTTTATATAACAGGCATATGTGCCCACAGAGCAAAGATTCCTGTATTCTTTGACAAAGGTTTCATTTACACACACGACTCTGTTGATGCAGTCTGAGTGAATGCCTATTTCAAGAATAAAACTATATATGAATTTGGCATATTTTAATAGTTTATCATCTGAATCCTTTGTCCACTTGTGAATTAAGGTGAATTTATTATGCTCCCCATGTGGGTTCCAGGACCCACACTTTGGGGGGAAACTAATAGACCCTCTGCGAACAACCATAACTATCCGCCGGAGTTTACAGCCGGTGAATGCTAAGAAGAAGAATATCCAGTTATGAAGAATATTTTCTGACATTTTCTAATCCACTCATGCAAGACTTTAATTATTTATCATTACCCAACGGATGCAACAGAAAATTTTTTTTTTTCAATAATAAAATGATACATTTCAGTCCATATACATTAAGATGTTTAGTACTAACTTATAAAATCTTGAGCATTTCAACCCAGGCACTATGATACAGACATTGTTTGGCATCTTTCTGTCTGGGGAGGCATGGGAATTGCAGCCCATATTCTTCCTCTCCATAGCACAAAGGCTGGGCAGTATTTAAGGGACAATTTGTTACCCATGCATCATGATCTCTCTCTGCCCCTGCCTTGTTTAATCCAAAGAAAAGGTAACATCAATACAGTTGGAACAAGGCAAACTGCAAAAGATGCCGGGCATAAATTTCCATGTGGCATTTGCTCTTCCTAGGACAAGGTTAATATCCTTCCCAATGTGTTCCTCCGCCCAAAGTCGTTGCACAATTGGGATGTCAGCTTTGTTATAAGCTATCCAACATTGGGCGTTAACAGGAAACAGGCAGTATTGGCTACTTTTATACAATATGTGACACATGAAACAGACGTAGTTATCCCTATCTGGGACCCCCATTGTTGTGAAAACAAGAAACCCACTTCCTCCCCAACAAGCATGTCATAGGATTCAAATGATTGGGGACTTCCTTTTGAAGTTGGAGTACATCTGCCCGAGTGGCAAGGAACAACCAACAGCACACAAACAAGCCAGTAAAATAGATGAACACACAAAAGTCACGTTCTGGAACTAAGCCAAGGCGATGCCCTGGCACAAAGCCAAGTCCATGCCCTGGCACAAAGCTAAAGTCCATGCCCTGGCACAAAGCTAAAGTCCATGCCCTGGCACAAAGCTAAAGTCCATGCCCTGGCACAAAGCTAAAGTCCATGCCCTGGCACAAAGCCAAGTCCATGCCCTGGCACAAAGCTAAGTCCATGTCCTGGCACAAAGCTAAAGTCTATGCCCTGGCACAAAGCTAAAGTCCATGCCCTGGCACAAAGCTAAAGTCCATGCCCTGGCACAAAGCTTAAGTCCATGCCCTGGCACAAAGCTAAAGTCCATGCCCTGGTACAAAGCTAAAGTCCATGCCCTGGCACAAAGCTTAAGTCCATGCCCTGGCACAAAGCTTAAGTCCATGCCCTGGCACAAAGCTAAAGTCCATGCCCTGGCACAAAGCTAAAGTCCATGCCCTGGCACAAAGCTTAAGTCCATGCCCTGGCACAAAGCTAAAGTCCATGCCCTGGCACAAAGCTAAAGTCCATGCCCTGGTACAAAGCTAAAGTCCATGCAATGGTGCAAAGCTTAAGTCCATGCCCTGGTACAAAGCTTAAGTCCATGCCCTGGCACAAAGCTAAAGTCCATGCCCTGGCACAAAGAACAAGTATTTTAGGAATAATAGCGAGAATGTCCCGTACATTCATTTACACATATAGTTTTCATTGATTCCACTGAAGCACTTGGATTACTTATTAACAGAATAAAATGATAGAAGAAACCTGCATGTTTGTCTATTTTCTTAGCTGTACTCTGACTTTTGTTTCCAAGGAATACATTTTTAGATGTTATGGTTTTACAGACATGTTTGTGGGAAAGAAAATTACAACAGAAGACTACAGACAGAGGATTGTTACAATTTTAATTTGCCAGGTTTCCACAGAAGTGAGGAAGAAGTTTCATTTCCCAACGGGAAACGACCTCTTTAGAGTTAGCAGGATGGGGTTAACCAAACCCAGCATACGGCTTGTAATTTTTCTAGTAAATTTTACGTGCAGTTGTATGCCACTGTTTACTCAATGGTTGACTCTCCATACTATTGTCAAAATTAATGCAATGCCATCTGCTGCCAAACCACCTGCAGCTGAATCAATGTCTTTATTTTAAGAACTATTAACCTTAGTTTATAACCCCCAAGCCATAGACTCCCTGTCATCTCTGGTTTTTTCCTTTGGATATTTTTTCCATGGCAGTGCAAGAAGAGCAACAATAAAAAAATGAACAGATTGATTGGCTGGTTCTGCATCACTAGGTGGTAAACTTGAGTATGACAAGTCAGATGTGATCAAGGCCTTTTGGGAGTGAGTGAGCAGTGCTGAAGCACAAATAGATCATCATGGACCAGAAAGAATTGTGCAGGGGAAGTGGCCAGGGAATGTGAGTAAAACTCAAAGACTAGATCAAGATACCATCAAACTGTTAATGGTGCCTTCAGAACAGGATTTCTGTGCTGGCTACTGAAGATGGGGATGCTGCGCTTATGGGAATGTTCCCAGTGCTGTTACGTCAGTTCTGAACTCAACTCGTTTCCATTATCGTTCCAAATATCACAAAATAAAACCACCCAATCCTGATAATCAATGCTTTGAATTATCGCAGATTTACTGGTAGGGGATTCTGGAAGCTCTGCAGCTTCATTAATAAATCACTAACATTTTGAACTAAAGAATGTAATTAAAGAACTCTTAAAAGGCATTCTTATCCTTCACATTCACTGTCTGCAAACTCTAGGGGCAAGTTACGATTATTCATCCACTTCTGGATTGTAGTCTTGTTCAAGCACCTGAGTTTTATGTACACATCTGTTTTACACAATCTGGCAAGCTGCTGGTTCCTCAGGTCTCAGGCAGATTCACTCTGACAGAAGAAACACCCTAATTAGTCGCCTCCTACAACATGCTGGGTGGGGGGAAGGGTCTATTCTTTTCCCCCACAAAATAGAACCATGATACCCACATGGGGAAAAAAGCTTACAGTCTCAGGCACAACCCATTTGATTGTAATATTCATCTGTTACATATTTTTTTTAAAACAAAAAAAAAAATCAGAAGCTGCACATATTAATAGCTACAGCCCATAATGTCAACAACAAAAAAACACAACAAAATCAAAGAAACAGGTGGTTTTAATTACATATACAAAACATAGCACAGTTTATGCATCTCTCACAGTGTGTTCTCCATCCCCAAACCTCCAAATCAGCAAATAATGGTCTAATACTGTTCATACTCAGTCAACATATGCTCTCATCAATATACATTTTTAACAATGTAAATCAGGCACATACATAAACAATATAAATTTTACTCTTGTAGATTCATGTTTGCTATAAATTCGTTTTTGTTAATCCTTAAATCCTGTTTCTCTTTCTTCGTTTGCACGGTTGGCAAGTTGTGTTGATTACACCTTGACTGTGATATCTGCACCTTTTGACCCTACATATCAGATTCCAGTAAAATCCCTAATTATTTGCCTTTTATGACACGCTTGTGAGGGGGCAGGCTCTTTTTTTTCTCTAAAAACGATTTCCTGAAACCCACATAACAATTTTTGTTTTAATCTAGTGAGGCAAAGGTAAAAAAAAGGATCAACTCGAATCTCTCTCTGCAGAACAGCTAGCTGCCCGCCAAGAGCGTAGCCCAGAGCACGACCTCCGTGGCTACAACGATGTTTCCAGGGATCTCCATATAAATTAAACTCGTGAACTGAATGGTGCCGCCATGAAATGAGCCCACGACCTTCAGGGCGCGAGATAAACGGCTTGATTACTTCACCACTGAGACCCCAGAATCTAGGTTTCAAAGAATTTTTACTAAAATGCAATTAAATTCCATAGGACATGTTAATCTTCATATCACCCTTCCGAAAAAAAAGGGTGAATTCAGTTTTCATACATTGAACCTGTACCCCAAAAAAAAAACATAATTCACTCTGCAGGACCAAGGAATCATGGCTTCTTCAGGATTTCAAAATAGCTACAGGCATCTATCATTCCCACTGAAGAATGTTGAAATCAGCTGACTGAACAATACCAGACCAAGACCTTTCAAATTAACCATATCTTTTAGCCACCCAGCACAATATGCCTACAAACAATAGTAGGATGAAGATCTGCGCCGACCCTTCTGGGAAAGTTCAGCATTACGCTACAGGAAATCTAAGTTTCTCTTGCCACATGGTCAGATAAAGTATTCAATAGTAAAAAAGTAAAGTAAAGGACCCTTTTCCACGCCTTTAGGCTTATAGGACATATAGGGCTAGACCTATATTTTTATAGACCAATCGGCACAAGATGGGTGATATGGTCAGCATCACACCAAAGTACTCAGTTATAGCCCAATAACAGTCTATCCAAGCTATTCAGTCAACACAAATATATCAAAGCTAAATAAAATTAGTATCAAAGTGAGTAATTCAAGCAGCTGACATCCATCTATTAAATGTGCTAGCAGTTTTAACAAATAATGGCTAGTTATAAATACAGTATAGCATGTTAATGGACTTTAAAAATTTTTCAGGTTCAGCACAACTCTAATTGCACTAAATTATCTTTCTATTTTCCTGAGAAAAAAAAAACCACTGTATTATTTTGTGACAGAGTCTCGGGAAGCATAGCAGACTGAACAGAAATAACTGAAGAGAAGCATGTAGCATTAAAAAATCCACGAAGCTATCAACGATACATCAATGAATTATTATAAGCTCTTTAATGAGTAATTAAAAGGTTAGTTGCGTATCCTTGACTGGACATTGCAGAACCAACCCAAGCAGCCCCTGGCTGTTGTGTGGTTTCTCTAGGCAAATTTATGTCCAGTAGTTTGCCATTGCTTTCTGGACGGTCGGCCCCCTGATACCTCTGTCAAAACCAACGCAAGGCGCATGGCCCGCAGCTGGGATCGAACCAAGCACCCTGGCATTACGAAGCGTTCGCATCGACTTAGCCACAGAGCCGACAATGAGTAATTACTCTTTGA